GGAATCAAGAAAAGCTGGCGGACCTGTTCGAAATGGGCCAGTCCCTCACCTTGGCAAGCCCATCTTTTAAACCGACTGAAGCCTCACTTTCCCCGACTGTGGTGAGTCAACAAGGTCATGGGATGGCCCAAGCCCAAACCTAGAGCCCGATTACTGAGCCTGTTGCTGCTCCCATTGAGGATGAATCAGGCAGACCCGAGAAGAAAAGGAAGCCCGAGCATTGGGCAAGCTTTTCCAGTCCAGCGGAACAAACTGAAGCACCCACTAACCTCTCTTTCGATTCCATGTCCTTTGTTCCAGGTGAAAGCAGGAGAATTTACCAGAGGAGGAAACATGTTACTAGGAGGAAGAGCTTGACTAAAATCACTGCAGAAGGATGCCATTCCGGAGAAGGCGAATCGACCACTCCGAGGGCGACGACGGCAGGCCTCAAGCCGCCTTTCCAAGAATGAGAATCTTGAGTTGGAATTGTAGGGGGTTTGGCCAGCCCCTTACAAGGAGTTACTGCGGCAAACTCTGTCGACAATTCGGCTCTTCAGTGCTTTTTTCTGATGGAAACTAGGAAAGATGTTGGTTTTATGGAAGAAAAGAAAAGAGTAATGAAGTTTGATCACTCTGAGTATGTCAGTTCAACAAGCGAAGGAAGCGGGCTTGCACTGTGGTGGAAAGATGATGTGACTATTAGTGTTTTAGACTCTTGTAAGTCCTTCATGGACACTTGTATTTGCAAGAATGGTGTCAAGTTTTTCTGCACTTTTGTTCACGCTCCTACCACGGCGGTAGAGAAAAGTGCTTTGTGGGATCGACTTACGACCCTGAGAGATCGGCAGGAAGATCAGTGGCTAGTGGTGGGAGATCTCAATGTAACAGCCTTCCCTTTTGAAAAACAGGGCCGATGCCCGTTAAGGAATGAAAAATTGGGTCCTTTTAAGTATTTCATTGATTCTAATGCTCTGATTGACCTTGGTTTCTCCGGCCAAATCTTTACTTGGAGTAACAAGCAGCAGGGGAATGATTTGATGAGGGAAAGGCTGGATCGAGCACTCTGCTCGGCCTCATGGAGAGTGGAATTTGAATCGGCAACGGTCTTCCATGAAGACTTTGGGGAATCAGATCATTGCCCAATCCGAATTGACCTTCACCCGAGAGGACGAGCCATTCACACCCCATTTAGGTTTGATAAAAGATGGCGGGAAAGCGAAGATTGATGTCACATTGTCACAAGAAGATGGCAAGAAGGCGAGATGGTTAATGATATCTTGAATGATTGCCAGGAAGGTTTGAGAAAGTGGGCGAAAAATGATAGAGATATGAAACAGAAGAGAGAAAAAGAGGTTAGAAACAGACTACAAATCCTTCAGGGGAAGTTCCGGGATCCGATGGTGATCAACGAAGAGAAGGAACTACAGCGCGAATTGGAATCAATGTGGTTCTCTGAAGAATCTTTCTGGGCCCAGAGATCTAGAATTTCGTGGTTGCAGGAAGGGGATCAAAACTCAGGTTTCTTTCATGCCAGTACTATCAAAAGGAAGAATCGTAACCGAATTCTGAAGCTCAGGGACTCGGATGGAACTTGGATCACCAATCCGCTGATCCTGGAGGAGCATGTTAACGGCTTCTATCACAAGCTTTTTAAAAGCAAGAGCGGACAGGTCAGTCCAAGCATCCTGGAAGGATTCCCCAGCCTTGTTTAAGACGAAATGAACACTGGCCTTTGTTCACCAGTGGAAAAGGAGGAAATTCGTATGGCTGTTTTACAGCTGGGGGCAAACAAAGCTCCTGGACCAGATGGTTTCACTGGACTGTTCTTCAGGAAATTCTGGAACACTCTTGGTGATGTCTTCTGCAAGGAGATTTCCAATTTTTTCTTGACTGGGAGTTTGCCAGATGGATGGAATGAAACCTTCATCACCATCATCCCCAAGGTTGATTCCCCTGAAAGCATTGGTCAATTCAGAACAATCAGCTGCTGTAACTTCAGATACAAGGTTATTACAAAGATTATGTCCAACAGACTCCAATATTGGCTTCCTGAATTGGTCAATGAACTTCAGTCGGCCTTCACGGGAGGAAGACAAATTCAAGACATTATCATCATTATGCATGAGGTTCTCAACCATTTCAAGAAGCACAAATCGGGCAACAGAAAAGAAATGATGCTTAAACTGGACATGAGGAAGTATTATGACTTGGTTGAATGGGATCTCGTGATCAATCTTCTCCAGGCCTATGGTTTCAATCGAGTGTGGTGTAACTGGATCCATTCTTGTATCTCAACAGTCAATTTCAGACTCCTCTTTAACGGTGAACCATCTGCTGGTTTCAAACCTTCAAGAGGTATTCGACAAGGAGACCCTTTGTCCCCTCTCCTTTTCATACTTATGTTGAATGCGCTGTCTTTTCTGATTGAAAAAGCAGTCTTGAACAATGAGATCAATGGTATCAAGCTCAACAGATATTGTCCTACCCTCTCCCACTGCTTGTTCGTTGATGACACTGTCATCTTTGGGAAAGCCTCTGCTGAAGAAGCTAGGAAGATTTTGGACATTACGATGATTATGGGGCTGTCACAGGACAAGAGGTTAATAAGGACAAATCCTCCATGTTTTTTAGCCTCAATGTCCCTAGAGGTGAACAGGATAGTATCATACAAGAGTCAGGATTTGCATCTGATTGCCGCCATTCCAACTATCTTGGAGTTCCTACGGAATGGGAAGATCGAAGGAGACCTTCAACTTTTTGGTGCAAAGGATGGAGAAAAGAGGTGAAGCCCGGAAAAGGCTCCTATTGTCACCGGGGGAGGGGAAGAAATCCTTCTTAAAGTTGTGTTCCAAGTTGTTCCCTCCTATATAATGTGCTTATTCCTCATGCCAAAAAATATTACTAAGAAGATGGATGCCATGCTGAAAAACTTCTTCTGGGGGGGCTCGACCAACAAAAAAACGATCCATTGGAGGGCGGGCCACGTTCTTTATGCCCCAAAGAGTGAAGGGGGCCTTGGCTTTCGTCCTTTCCATTCTTTCAATCTGGCCCTTCTTGCTAAACAGGCTTGGAGAATCCTCACTAACAAAGATGCTCTGTGGGTCAAGGTACTTAAAAGCATCTACTTCCCTAAGACCGACTTCCTTAATGCCAAGAAATGAGGGAAGACATCGTGGATTTGGTCTAGCTTATGCGAGGCCAAGAAATGGACGGAGCTTGGAGTCATCAGGGTTATTGGTAATGGTAAATCAACCAAACTCTTTCAGGACCCATGGAGAAGAGATCGAACAGGAACTCTACTTGACATTGAATGGCCGGACCCTTCTACTGTGGATTGCTGGATTGATGGTATCACCAGAGAATGGAGGTTTGACCTCCTTGAACAATTCCTCAGCCCGCATGATCTGAGACAGGTGGCTGCCATCCCAATTGGCCCAGAATCACTTAAAGATTTCTGGGCCTGGAGATTCCCTGACCATGGTTGTTTCACGGTAAAATCTGCTTTCTTTCATTTTCACCATCGGCTCAGAACGTTACAAGGACATCAGGTTTTGAGTACTGAAGCTAGCAAGGATAGATGGAAATGGTTGTGGAGTCTCTCCATTCCCCCGAAGCTCAAGTTCTTTGTTTGGAGGATATCCAAAAGTGATTTATCATCGAAAGAGAACCTGCACAAGAGGAAGTGCTCTCCTAACATGAGCTGCCCTTTGTGTGCCCACCCTACCGAGTCGATCCACCACTCCCTGTTTGCCTGCCCTCATGCAGCGGAAGGATGGAAGCAGGAATGGCCATCGCTCCCTCCCCCGACTCCAAACATCCTGTTCCTGGAATGGCTGAATGCGTTGACTTCCAGGTACTCGATCTGCTCTATCCAGAAGGTTGTCTTCCTTCTCTGGCAGACTTGGAAAACAAGAAATGAGCGAGTCTTCAAAAATACCAGCCCATGGCCTCTCTCGACGATCTCTAAGGCATCTTTTGCTCATCACCAATGGACTTCTTGCCCCAAGAGGTCACCCACTGCTACTCTTTCTGCTCAGCTTATTCCACCACCGAATCTCTCTTCACCATCGCCAAGTACTCATGACTTTGAGATTCACTGCGACAGGTCGTTCTTCAGCGACTCCCAGGAGGCGGCCTTTGGTGTCGTTGTTACGAACAGCCATGGTCAAGTGTGTGACGGTAAGGCTGAGTTCTTGCATTGTTTCTCCCCACTTGAAGCTGAAGCCAAAGCCCTTGAGGAAGGTTCGCGTTTGGCTGCTAATCTACTGTCACCATGCCTCGTCCACTCTGATGGCTTGCCTCTTGTTAAAGCGCTTTGCGAGCAACCGACGGCGTGGCCTTGGCGAGCGGCAGCTTGGATTGGAAGTATCAAACAAACGTTGGATACCAACCCGCTGATTCGGATCAAGCACATAGGTCGTAAGAGCAACTCGATGGCAAACTGGGTAGCTAGATCTTGTGCCAAGAATACTTTACCCACTGAATGGGTCCAGATTCTTGACGTTGTATCCCCTTTTGTAACTCTTGGCTTTTGCAACAATGAAATGGAAATGCAATGTCCTCTTGTAAAAAAAAAAAGAAAAAAAAAATGATGGTCAAACGTCTGGATGCATTCTGCCATTTTCAGAGATGTACTTTTAACTGATTGCGAATGGAACATTGCAGCAGCAAAAGCCTGAGAGAGAAAGCAACATAGCACAGCTATCTGAGCTAACCCCATAAATGACCTCTTTTACAACACATCATCATATCATTAAATGCATTATATTTATATGTGGCTTTTTGCCTGTTCCTGTCCGCATGCTCTATTAGCCTTTTCGGCATTAAGAACTCGATCGCATTCTTTAAAGGCTTGTTCGTTCGAGCTGGCTGACACAGTAATGATAGTAGTCACTAGTCATGCTGCTGAACAAAATTTACAGACATTCCCGTACTGTCGTCACCAGGCGGGTCGGGTAGATTACCCAACTTAAGACTTGTACATATTATGTCAAATATGCTCTCAATTACAGATGTGTTCACAAGGATTTAGTTTATGACAGACTCATGAAGTCAAGAGCATCAACTCCTTCGGATATTCAACGACCAAACTAAAACTACTCGCACGAAAACATCACATCATAGTATTTTCTTCAGGCTCCACCCAAATGTCACTACTAATGACACCGCCATCAAAGGAAAGGAAAGGGAAGTGGGACTCGGATAGAGAAATGCACAACAGGGTCAAACAGGAAAAAACCATAATTGTCATTTCATTTCCTCAGAGAATCAACAAATCCACGAGACTGACTGACCGTGACCAGTGGCGTTGCCGCCAACTATATGCAAATGCAATCAACCAGAATACAAAAATACAGCTGTATATTATGAGTTTTTTACTAAAAACAACCAAAACTCCCGACGAACTTCGTGATGCAAAAAAGTTCACCAAAAGGAAGCCTCCCTCTGATTATCTGACACGACCGACCCTCTTCTTTCGTTATAACTGCCATTGCTGGTTTGGCCAGACGGACACTGCACTCCCAACCTCCGACTCCTTGTGGACTGACACTTTACTCTAACGACCGACCGACCGACCAACTGAGGCACCTCTTGATCGACCCATGAGAGGACGCTGGACCAGACTCCGACGACACAAGGTGCCCTGATATACTGTGACTTCAACCCCACAGTTCTTAACAACCATCACAACTTCAACATCATGACACACTTAAGCACCTGCAGTGTTTGTAGAACTCAACCCTTTTATGCACAATTCAGGAGATCAAGGATTACTACAAAATTAGAGGTGGCAAATGTCAACCCATCCCAACCCACTCGCTTAAAACCATCTAGTCCCAAATCCATTTGACACAAATCCATTGGGTTGGGTTGATGAGTTTATGCAAAACTGACATTTAGATCTAAATAAGAATCCTGCATTTTAGAACCTAGATTTTCCCATATATAGGTGACCTTTAGCGTAAAATAAAGTCTAATAACCATATATTTTGCGCCTAACATTTCAGCACCTAAGCTTTCAGAAGTTTACAGGCTAGTCAAAAAACTAAATCCAACTTCTATTCAGTCAATTCAATTGACAATGATCCACCAACCAATTAACCAGAAACACATTTAAACCCAACCCCGCGAACACAGCAAACCATTCCATTCCATTTGATACCTCTAGTTAGATTCATGCATATGCTTGAAAGCATAATCACAACATACCTTCAATTGAAGTTGAAACCGCCAGGTGGGATGTCATTTCCGCCAAACTGAAAACCCGGCTGGGTAGTAGCATCACCAGAAGGTAATGTCTCGTCCTCTTCCTCCAACCAATAGGTCTCCAGAATCTTAACTGCCTTCTCATAGATCTCATTGTTATCATGGCTCTGAAGATTCTCAATCTTTTCAAGACCCTCCGCGTCATCAATAGCCTGAGCAAATAAGTTCACTTCAGTATGTCCCAAATTCTTCTCGGACTCCCCAACCTTCAATATATTCTCTAGTCCTTCGAGACAAACTGTGACAATTCTTGGATCAGGGCAAACAAGGAGATCACACAACGGTTTTATACACCCCTGGCTCACCAGAAACCTAGCAACCATAGATAGAGTTAATTATAGGTTTTATGAGAATCGAAAACAAACAGACACAGTTCCAATAAACACTTAAAACTTTAGCCTCGGAATAAAAAACAAAGGAACATACTTGATTTGATCATGGGTACCACCAGAAGTAGCATTAGAGAGCGCCCAAGCAGCCTCTTTCTTTATGTCAAACTCGGCATTTACAAGCAAGTTAACCAAAGGGCCTATCAGATTAGCTTCAATCACAGCCTGTTTCACAACAATCAAAAGGTCCAAAGTGAGCACTCTAATCACAAATACCAAGCAATAATAGGAACCAGGGTTGTAAGAGCTTTGAGGAGACAGAGTTAGTTATTTGTAATAATTAGGCAAGTTCACACTTCTATTTTCTTATAAAATAATTAGTGAATTATGAGCGCCAAATTTACCTGAATCTGTTCCTTGTTTCCAGCTGTAATGTTTGAGATGGTCCAGCACGCTTCCTTCTTAATGCTCTTCTTCAAATTCAGATTCAACAGGTTGAGAAGGCAGGGGAGTGCGCCATGACTAATTATACACTGCAAACAAGGAACTTGTATGTGTTAATTTAAGAGAACAATAAGTAACTCTATATACAACAACAACAACAACAACAACAACAACAACAACAACAACAAAAAGGATTGGACCTATACAGCCAGAATAGATATGCTAATAATAATTCTTGATTGATTGAGCAAGTGCATATCTTTACATATAAATTCTTTGAACATGCATTTTAAGCGAACAAACTTTACTGCCATTCTCAAACTACGATGTGAAAGTCCATCAAATCCAACAATATATTCAATACAGTTCTACAAGGTTTGATGACTGTAACTATAATATGTAAATAGATTTTGTTACCTGGGTCTGAGAATCATCTCCTGTTACAATGTTTCCAACTGTGCGAAGGGCTGGAACAAGCACTGAAGGTGATTGATGGCTACAAGGTTCAAGTAAACCAAACCATAAGTCGACATTGTTATTCGGACAGAAGTAAAAGGCCAAACTTAAATAGAAATAACAAAACTTACAGGAGAAGCTCAATAAGACGTTGGCAAACACCAGTCTCGATCACAGCTTGTATTTTATCGTTTGTACCATCAGAAAGATAGGATAGCGCCCAACATGCATCAGTAAGGACTTCCTCATCAGACGAGTACACGAGACGCTCAAGTGCAGGAAGTGCTGGCCTCACCTGCCAATTCAACTTCTATTAGTTCGAAAACTAGCAAAAGCATTCCGCGGAAACATAAAAGCCTAAGTACTGCATAGAAGCCCTATACTAACCTGATCAAAAGGAGGCTGAGGCTTTCCCCTGCAGAAGTTTGATAATGTCCACGTGGCATTCCTCAGCATGGAAAGCTTAGCATGCTCGTTCAATTGAGCCAGAAGAGGCAACAGTGCATTATGACTCAGAACAAGGTCACGACATTTCGGGGAATCACCAGCAACATTTCCCAAGGCCCACACAGCCTTCAGTTCCAACAAGGTAAATCGTAAGTTTCACTTTCTTGACTAAAATCAGCACTCAGAATATAAATTTTAGGATGGCAAACCAATACCTGCTCCCGAACATCATCGGTGGCTGAACCAAGAAGCTGAACAAATATTGGAACAGCACCATGGTCGATCACCACTTTGGTATTCTCAGAGGTCCCAGAAGCAATGTTTGTCAAAGCCCAAGCAGCTTCAAACTGCAACAGGCTCGAAATCATGTTATTTCAACTCTTAATGCCCCCCCATAAACACCTCTATGTATAAAATACAGTGCTGTGCTGTCAATCATGATTCAGTAGCATACCTGAAGCTGGGGAAAGTCCTCCCTGACTAGAAACTCAACAAAGCGAGGAACAACACCAGACTGAATAACCTCCTCAATAGGAGGACTCCTTTCTGAAATCATCAATTCCACATACATACACACATATCAGTAACAACTAACAACCGGCATTACATGCCACAGACAAGGCAAAACGAAAGAATCCAACTACAAAAGACTGCGAGGAGTACCAATGGAAAGCAGCTTTCTGAACTGAGTGGTGGCTTCGAGCTGCAGAGTACTATTATCCGAATTAACACCAGCAACCAGAGAAGGCAAGCTTTCCAGCTGCACATTGAACAAGAAATTCAATTAAGCATCAGAGATCATCACCGGAACTGAGCTCGAATGCTTAAAAAACGCAATGATCTCACAACCGCTGCTCTCAAAACCCTAATCCTAACTCCAAGAACAAAAACTAAACAGCACAGAGGCTGAAATCGCACTATCCACAACAATACGAAGTCGAAACAAGACTCGTTTACCTTCTTCTCCATAGCACCGGGGAGAGCCGCCGGCTGAGGCTGGAGACCTTCACGCCGCCTCTTCATCAAGCTCTCCTCGCGCTTGTTCTTCCGGATCTCCACCATGTTGTCCTCCCTCCTCCTTCGGCCTTCGTCGGCATCGACGGCGACCTTGTACTTGTTGCGGCGATTCTCGTTCTTGTTGTTGTTTGGCCTCAGCGACATGGCTCCGGCAGGTGGGCGCGACTGGAACAACTTCTAAGGCTAAGTTCTGATGGTGCAGAGGGCGGGAACGAGGAAGGAAGCAAAGACTGAATCGGAGTGGTTTCAAGAAACCCTAGAGGCTGGAGGGAGAGAGAGAGGGAATTACTTGCTTTTGAGTTCGGGAGACCGCAGACAGTAACTGTAGACGGGAAAGTCGGGGAGGGATAGAAATGAGAATGGGAGGGAGAAGTTTGATTTTATTTCCAGTTGGTTTTTTACAGTTTTACGCGGCGGAGAGGGATTTGTTTAGTAATTAGACGGATTATTAAGCCGGTTAATGGTTAATTAATTTTTAGGGTTTCCAACGGTTAATGGTTAAAATCTGTTTGAGAATTGGTTGCTTTTGGGTTGGCTTTGTATTTATTGGATTGGGCCCATTGAGTGGCCTTCTTGACATGGATTTTGATATTCTGAAAATCAATTGTCGACTGCAGCATATTCTGTTGGAGTGATGGTTGATTCTAATCGTTATTTCCCGTGGCCAGGAAAAATAAATCCAACAGTTTTTTTTTTTCCGCTTGATTTGTGTGGATCAAGTGGTAGATAACCATTTCATGTCTAGGTAGGTAGGATGAATTATTTTGTATGCTAGGTATGTAGCATGAACTGATATGCTAATTGATCAGTATGGTGTACTATTAAACTATACAGCGAGTATGAATATTTCTTTTTATGATTTTTTATATTTAAAGGGTTGATTACACTTAATTCACATAATTAAAAGGAGGGATACATTTGTCATTTTTAGAAATTATAGGGGAGAACACGTGTGTGGTGCTGCTCATTCATTTCGCGTCCCGTCTTCAGCTGACCACAACCACAAGTATCATAAAACATAAAAGAAAAACGTAAAACTAGAAACAAGACAAACTACATGAGAAACAACAACCATAAATCACACCAAGAAATGTAGGAAGCATACCACTAAACTAACAAATTTTCTAAAGCATACCATGAAACTCATAAAGCTAACCACAAGTTTCTTAAAACTGACGAGAAACCTCATAAATCAAACAAAAAACCCCATAAGCTTGACCACATGTTTCTTACAGCATATGAGAAACCTCATAAAGTTGACCCCAAGTTTCTTAAACAGTTAAAAACTTCATAAAACTCACCACAAGTTTTGGTAAAGTAAACCAACAGCCTCGTAAAGTTGGCAACAAGTTCCCTGAAGGAGACGAAAAATCTCATATGGCTTACCACAAGTTATTTGAAGCAGATCATAAACCTCATAAAGTTAAAAACAAGTTCTTTAAGCATACCATAAACATGTGCAATCACATCATAATTCTCATGAAATAGAAAAGAAAGACGAGAAACCATACAAAAACCTCACTAAGCGAAATATAAACGTTGGAAAGGATGACAAGGTAATAAATAATGATGGTGAAATAATTTTTCTTTCACAAGTAACCTCCTAGGTTTTTTGCAGAGAGGGAAGTGGGTCTGGAGGGCGGGGGCAGAGAGCAACGTGAGGAAACGAAGTGGGGGAATCAGCTACTATATACAATAGTTATTATCATATGACTATTAATTATTGTCCGCATAGTGCTAACGCTTATATGGTCTCAAATCGTCTTGTGTGATTAGAGCATTCACATGATGTATTTGGTTATGACGTGATATTTCGTTAAATAAACATTATATTGCCCCACATGATTTAACAAATGATGTTTTTGTAGTTGATTGTTTTGTGGTAACAAATGATTGTTGATTGTGAAATCATGTGGGGCAATATAATGTTTATTTAACGAAATATCACGTCATAACCAAATACATCATGTGAATGCTCTAATCACACAAGACGATTTGAGACCATATAAGCGTTAGCACTATGCGGACAATAATTAATAGTCGTATGATAATAACTATTGTATATACAGTAATTTTTTGGTCATTAAGCCAAACATCATTCACAGACCCTATATATTAACAACACAGACGATCAATAAAAAAAGACTACCAAAAACTTGTATGCAAAAACACTACCACGACTATTAGGACGGTGTTGGAAATATATGTTCCACGTGATGTGGGCTGTGGTTTATGGGATAATAATTGTATTAGTTATTTGTTAAAGTGGGCTATTATAAGTGGTCAAATTATGGAGCCCAAGACTACTCAATATCTTATATGGGCCCAATGAGTGGAAACCAGATACTAAACCTAATAAGAGTTTTATGGGAACCCTAGCTAAACATAGTATATAAAGAACCTAGAGGTTGTGGTCCCCGAGATACCAAGACCGAAAATACACACATATTCTCCCCATCAGGAATACGTGAGGTTTCCTGTGAGTGGACTAAGGAGGCTTGGTTGAGGAAAGCCACTAAACTTCCCGGATCGTGCTCTTGGAGGTATCGCCCGGTTAAAGATAGTTCTACAGATTCCGCTTCAAGCTCACGACGATCTACCATCATGAATCCAGGTATTTAGATCTATTCGCCTTTGATAATCTGATAAGATATTTCCAGGGAATTACATATTTCGAACAATTCCAACAGACGGTGCTAACCCCCTATAGGATTAGCACTGGAGAATGATGTTTTTGTAGTTGATTGTTTTGTGGTAACAAATGATTGTTGATTGTGAAATCATGTGGGGCAATATAATGTTTATTTAAGGAAATATCACGTCATAACCAAATACATCATGTGAATGCTCTAATCACACAAGACGATTTGAGACCATATAAGCGTTAGCACTATGCGGACAATAATTAATAGTCGTAATAATAACTATTGTATATACAAAAACATCATTCTTCACATCATAGCTGTTAATTCAATTAACTAAGCCAAATTACTGTATTTGATGTTTTCGCTGTCAAACGAATTATTTTGATCCCAATAATATTGAAAAATTAAAGGTTTTTCTAGCAATGCACGTATATAGGTCATCATTGAATCTCTTTTATTATTAAATATTGTGTTCGTATCACTTAAATTACACATTTCTAAATAAGGTGTTTGTACAAATTTGTGAGTACTTTATGCAATTCGGTATATAGCACGATTAGGAAGAAAAGAGAGATGATTCAGTAATGGCCGTTGGTGAGTTAACCAAAAAGGATACAACTTTTGGGAATTAGATGCATTGGATTGGGGTAAATGCTACATTTGGTCACTAAAAAAACTAATATTAATTTTGTTCACTCGAATTACTGAAATATGCCACATTTAGTCACTCTTTCGTTAGTTTCCGTCCAAGGAGTTGGACGGAGGATAACGAAGAGTGACTAAATGTGACATGTTACAGTAATTCGAGTGACATTCATATAAAAAAAAAGTAATTCGAGTGACTAGAGTTGGACGGAGGTTAACGGGAGAGTGACTTTTTTTTTGACAAAAGATAATCATATATTGATTGAAGATAGACACAGTTACACCCTGGAAAACAGCCAGGCCTGAAAATTAAAAGAGCGACACGTTGACGGGTACAAAGAAAGGGTCTTTCTAGCCACCGCATGGGCTACCCTATTGTTCCTCCGTCCTACAAATCCCAAACTAAACCCCGATTGATTCTCCATACATTGCCAGATTTCTTCCAAAATCATCCCAATCCTACTATCTCTAGTCTCAGCTTGATTGATTTTATCGATGATGACTTTGGCATCGCCTTCAAACCTTACATCCTGGAGCCCATTGGCCACACACCATAAGAGAGCTTCCCGGAGAACGAGCGCCTCCACCACTAAAGGATCATCAATAGCCCGAAACTGGACCCCTTGTACTCGGAGGACCTCCCTATGAGAGTCAAGAAGCACCATTTCGCCCACAGAGTGGGACCCAGCTCTCGTAGCTCCATCCCACATACACACCAGCGAGGAACCCGCCAGCAACCCTGGAGAATGGACAGTAGGGAGCTGTCCCAGATCCATCCTGTCAGTCGGCACCCGTTCCCATTCCTCACACTGCTGGTGAAATTGACGCATCAAGGCAAGGAATCTGAACTGCTTGCCTTCGAAAACCACCCAATTACGTGACTTCCAAATCCTCCAAACACTGCCACCACGGCCATGATCATACGAGGTTGATGAATTAAGGCAAACAACCGTTTGAGAAACAGGGGAAAAGTGTGGCGAGGCAAGCCTTGTCCCAGATGTTCGAGCCCTGAATAATCCCATAAAGCCCGAGCCACTGGACAATCCAGGAATAAATGTTCCAAAGTTTCCGATGCCTCCCAGCATACCGGACAACGAGGAAGGACAGGAACACTCTTCTCAATGAGGCCCTCTGTGGTGGGGAGGATATGATGAAAAATCTGCCAAACGAACACCTTCAACTTCGGGGGAATATCAGCACCCCAAAGCCAAATCCAACTGGCTTTATCCATCCAACTAGACGTAGCCCTGCAACAACCATTCCTTCTGGCCAGGTCGACATCCAAATGATATGCAGATTTGACAGTGAACACGCCATCAGACGTGCCATGCCAGATTAGTCTATCCGCCATACTCTGCCTCGGAAGAGGAATAGACTGAATCATTCTACACGTAGAAGGGTCAAACCACTAGTTCAGTTTGGTGGCACACCAACCCCCTTCCCCATCCTAAGCTATAACCTCCGCCACCAGCGGGTCACCCCCTTCCGGGAGCACCTGCGGGTTATAGGCCGGCTTCTCAGGATGCAAATGAGGAATCCAATTCGAGAAGAGCAACGATGCCGACTCTCCATTACCAATTTGCCACCGTAAACCCTGCTCAAGCAACTGTCGCCCATAGAGAACACTCTGCCATCCCCAGGAAGGCCGCGAACATGCTCGAGTTTGGAGAAAGGTCCCCGTTGAGAAGTATTTACCTTTATAAACTTGAGCCAGTAGGGATTGGGGGTCCTGAAGGATCTGCCAACCAATCATAGCCAACAGAGCCTGATTAAAATGTTCAAACCGACGGAAACCCATGCCCCCGTCATGTTTACTTTTGTACATATTTCTCCAGGACATCCAGTGAATCCTTGACTGACCCTCAGACACCCCCACCAGAACCGAGCGACATGCTTGTCCAGAAGCCTACACAGTGACAGTGGCATCTTGAAGCAAGACATAACATGCAGCGGTAAAGCTAAAGCGATGGACTTAATCAGGGTTTCTTTCGCTGCCCAAGATAATGTACGTTGCTTCCACCCTTGTAGCTTCTCCAACAGTTTTTCTTCAAGGTAACGGAAGGTAGCCATCTTTGATCGGGCTATCAGGGTCGGAAGCCCCAAATATTTATCATGGACCCCTACCGCACCCACCCCCAGAATCGCAGTCAGAAACTCCTGATCGGCGGGGACTATATTCTTACTAAAACAGACAGCTGATTTGCCCAAATTTACCCGTTGACCACTTAACTCTTCATATTCATTTAGAACTTCGATCAGATTTTTTCACATTCCTGAAGATTACCTTGCAGGAATAAGCAAGGTTCAAAAAGGCGTTAGGCGTAAGGCGGGCGTTGAGCCTTTTCCTTGCGCCCAGGTCGCCTAGGCGTAGACTAAGCGTGCCTAGGCGTTGGAAGAAAATTAGCTATTCGCACTACATGATGAGTGAAATAATTATCTACAACACTTCCTCACTTCAGTTAAAATGATTAATAACTTACTCAACACTTAATGACAAGAACATAGCTCACGAATTCATAGAATCATAGCTCAATAGCTCACAAAGTTCTTGAGCTATTGAAAATATTGCAATAGAAAATTGATTTCGTAGTTGATGTTAATTTTGGCCTTTAATATTGACTTACTAGCTCCATCTAGTAATGTTCAAGAGAGACTTATATATCGCCTTACTCCATGACGTGTTTCAGTATCTAATTAGGCGTGAAACCCCTAGGCGAGGCGTTTTGCCATAGCCTTGCGCCTAGGCGTGCCTAAGCGTAAGATTAAGCGTGCCTTTTTGAACCATGGGAATAAGTAAGAATCATCTGCAAAGAATAAATGCGAAATACGAGGAGCTCTAGGAGCAACTTTCACACCACCTAGCCTCTTATCAGCAATTGCTTGGCGAAGAAGCAACGAGAGAGTGACTAAATGTGACATGTTTTAGTAATTCTAGTGACTAAACATAACATGATTTAGTAATCCCAATGACCAAATGTGGCATGTACCCATTGGATTGGTTATATCATATGGCACAACCGCACAAACTCGAGAAGCAAAAGCAGCCTTCCTTCCACCAAAAAAAAAAAAAATGTACAGTACATAGTATCAGTATGTGCATTTCTCTTGTAAGGTAGCCCTTTTTCTGCCTGACAAGTGACCTGGCTCACCATTCTTGTTACAGAAGAAAACTGTTTTCCTTCTCTTATTTCATTTACTATACGAAACTCAATTGCTTGATCAAAGCCGGCGGCAATGCGACGGAGAGATGGTCAGCCTGGTCTTGCCTGCGAACAGGGTCTTCCCTCTCGGCCGCCGGGATATGCTCCCGCGCCCGTGGTGGCGAGCGCGGCGGGGAAGCGTAGAGCACCGAGACGTCTATTATCTGCCGCCGCGCGGCTTCGTGCTCTTGGGATATTCTTTGCGCGCGAAATGCAGTTAGGTACAGCCCGCCGGCTAGGAGCACGGTGAAGAGGGAGAACACTCCGGCCGCGGCAAACACTCCTTCCCTGATCACCAGGCAGCTCTGTTTTGGGGTAGCCCAGTTCTTCAGGTGACCCGATTCCACGCTCAGTCCGATCAGCAGCAGGATTTCCGCCACCGCGAAGCATACCCTGCATCGAGCGGAGGAACATCCAGGTTAAAAGGTTTTAACTGTGTAATCAAATTGGATGCAGAACTCAGGTATTTGAGACAAGTAAAAAGTAGGACATATACATACCAAGTGCTGATGAAAAAGGCACCAGCCTGCCATGTAACATCCTTGGAAGGGCCATAGTTAGGGTCCCAAGCGAGCAGAGCCGGCGGCGGGGCTTTGCTCGCTGCAAACAACAGGTAAGTGTGCTCCACTACCATCGCCACCGCGAGTCCGATGAACGCAATAGCACCACACATCAACGGCGTCTCTCCGCTACCACTATACACACACTGGTGATCCTCCCATGTATCCTGTTCACGCACAAAACAGAAAAACCACCACCACCACAGAAAGAAATGAGATGAAAACTCGATCACGGTGAGGCGGCAGCCAGACTCTGTTGTTCAAAAGGGGTCCTGGTTTTTAACCTGAGAACGGGAGGCTTCAGCAATGAGACAGAGAGCGAAGCAGAGGAGTCCACAGAGGACCGTGAGGAGCACGAGGGATATGGCAGTTCTGCTGCCCAAATCCGTGCTTCCTGGGGACGGCGCGAGATCTTCATGGGTTACTGCTCTTCTTCCTTCAGCCATGGCTGCCAACAGTTTTCACCTCAAAGCTCAAAGCTCCATAAGAACAGGAGGAAGAAGGGGGACTTGGACATAGATGCAAAACCCATCCATGGAAAAAAGGCAAGGGAAGAGGGGGAACTGCAGAATTGCTTGGAGCAAAGGTTGCTTAAAGTCCACAGATTCCTTTCTCTCAGGGAAGGCAGGCCGCAGGGGGCTTTATAAGAAGAAAACCTGCAAAAAAAAAAACAAAAGTTTTCCTTTCACACTGTATTACGTACTTGGGCCGTTAAATGAAGAAGATAACAAATTATAGTCAATACTCAATAGCCTGGGAAACAGGGTGGGCTGCTAAATGGCTGACACGTGTAACTGACCTAACTTGTAGTTCATCCCTCTTATGTCTTCTCTGTCTTAAAATGTTCGTTTAATCAGTTATTCCTTCACCATTATCTTTGGTTTAAAGTTGCATTTTTGGTACCTAATCCCACCCCAAACCCCGACTGTAAAGCTCAAAGCACACGATTTTGACAGGATTAGGACTCGGCAAAAAGGGTGGCTGGAAGGATGATCAGATGCTTGATCGTCGTCATTCTTTTTGGACTAATGCATGAGGGCAACGCAAAGCTTGAATTAAAGTAATTGCAGGAATAGACGGATCCTCAATAATATCAGTAGTTAGTAAAAGCCAAAAAGTGAGACAACGGACGGCCAATTATATTCTATAGATGCACTGATACAGCAGAATATGATTCTTGATGCTATCCCACAGTCCAAAAGCTATTAGGAGTTTGTAAGTTAATGTGGAGTAAAATGGAAGTGAAATCTTGATGTTTCTCTAGAGCAGAATTGGACAGTAAAGCATTACCCAGTTTCTGAGACTTAAAAAAAAGTCAGAGGTAGGGTAGGCATGGTCTGGACTGGTCCGAAGATCGGATAGGTACCGGAATCAAATCGAAGAATGGAAACCTACTTCAATCTGGTTTTAGGAGAAACCCAAAAGGGTTGAGCTGGGTTTAGACACCCTGTTCTACCCCTTCTATCCAGATTAGGTTTGTACCACCTGATCAGAACCTTCAGAAGTATGAAAATCTAGGAGGCTCTCACAACTGTGCATATAGCCATTTCTGCACAAGGTTGACTTTAGTGTGTGTGTGTGTGTCTGTGCAAGCACCTGTCCATTATGCTGTGTCCCTTGTGCACAAAATCTATAGAAAAAAAGAAGGGAAAAAAAAAAGATTGTGCTAGTCACATTCAACTACCCACTGGATGCTATGGTTCCTTTCATGGTGATTTAACAGTTATGCAAACCGTAGAAATTAAATTTTTATATTTCTTTTGAAGTTGTGATATAGATGAATTTTGGCATCCAAGGAACAAGTTTCAATCTCGTCCAAGAACACTTGGCTAGATAATTCCCTAGCTGCATCTTTCAGTTGCTTATCAAACAAGATAAGGGAAACTTTTCTACGAAGTAAGAATTTTCACAAAACCTTTGATTCTCTATGCACCCCATAACTACGGCTATCATGTCCGTCTATACCCCACACTCGTGGCCAACATATATCCCCTTCTGGTACTCTATCCTATTGGTTTCATAACAACCATTCTCATAAACCTATAAATCTCAAGAGAGTGAGCAGTACCTTTTTATCAGCAAATCCCGATAACCTTCAGTCCACCTTTTCTGTGGTTTTGACAGAAAACGTCTTCTTCTGACACAGGCTATGCTGGAGATCAGGAGGAGGCCTGCACCAGCAACGAACAAGCAAGTCTTGCAACAGACAAAAAACCTAACACAAAAGGCACAGGAAACTCTGATTTTGAGAGAGTACTTGCCCAGAGAGCGCTCTTTCGATCACATAATCACAGGGTGAAGGGGAGAAAATTTGCCAACAATTTTGCCAGGACGTTGCCAGGTAGGCTAAGCAAGGTATCCTTGGCAGACGATTCAGCAGACCAATAAGGTATACTGTAGCAATGTAGCTTTGTAAACATTTCTGTTGCCGCAAAACAAGAGTTCATGATATGAAGTACAAAGACAAAAGCATCAAGATCTCAAGGATGTGTACTTCAGATGAGGATGCTAAGATACTTCAATGGCCATATACATTTCAGCATCAAAATTTCAGTTACACCGTAAGAACTTTGCTATGGAGGGAAAGGGGCCAAACATTAGAGAATTTCACTATCAGTCTTTAAGACAATTCAGCAAGAAGAAACCTCTACTATTCGGATCAAAATTCACATAGCGAAAATGAGAAACTCACTCGGTAAGGTGGGAGTGCCCCTGAAAATTTAAAGTTAGAAGGAGGTGAGAATCAACAAGAACAATCAAGAGGAGTAATTCAAGAATCCTCCACTATAAGTAACCGAGTTCTCTGCCATTCAGATGATCACCACCCATTACTGGACATTCTGATGCATCGTGTCCAAACTGCCCACAACAAGGCTCCAAGCAATGCCTTCGTTTTCTGGATAGTTCAAACCCATCTCTAGCTCTTCTCTCCTTCAGCTTTCCCAGAGCAATAGAATCATGATGGTGGGTCCCAATCGTAAACGTGTGAACGATTCCATCTGCATCTTCTACTTCAGGTATAATCAGTGAATCAGAAGGACAACTATAAACATTCTCTTCTTCATGCCCACAGCGAGGAAGCTCCTTGATACGTGATAATACTGACGAAATCTGTTCGCAAGCAACTTCGAGTCGCTCTTCTGTCTCGCTTGACTCGGCCACAAGTTCTGAGGTCATTGACTGTAGATAATGAATCCTTTCAGAGTGCATTGTTGAAGACATAGCATTAACACGCCATCGAATTGGCAGGTATTGATCTGGTATGTGAAAACAGTTACTTGATGACAGGACACGTAGGACATGCCTACAGAGAAACCCGGAGAAATCAAACTGATTACAGCTGCAGCTGATGTGCTCTTGACAAGGATCGAAGATCACTTTGAAGCCACCGTTCAATTCAGTGTGATGCCTTACTTGGAAACAGTACTCGTCAAGTGGGAAAGATGCGTACTGTGGAGCTAATACAAGCTCATCTTGGAGTTTTTGGAAACCATATGGAGTAAGAATAGCAGCTGCATGTGATTCTATTGGCGAACCCGTTTTGAGGAAAGCCTTCTGCACCTTTCGATGCATATCCGGCTTATCAATAGAAGCAACAACATCAAATGCCTGCAAAGAAGCATTAGACAGGCTTAGCTTAAGTCAGTTTAAGTAAAGAATCGTAAAGAGATGGAATAAGAAATGACACACACCCTCTCTATGAAGCGATCAAGTTGAGCTTGTGCACTGAGAAACCGTTGAATGAAGGCATTGATCGACTCTGACAGGCAGGTACTTGTCAATCCAGCAAAGAAGTGATGTCTCAAGAAGGGCAAAGCCCAAAACATACGCAGAGCATGCAGGCTGGAAATGTGCTTATTTGTGTGAAGCCTATACTTACTGACCATTTCCCTCCATCCTTCCTCAAAATCTTCCACAAATTCAAGGTTGAAGAGCCTAACAAACTCAGCTTTCCATTCATCATAACATGGTCCTAATAACACAGAAAACCAATCTGAGAACTTTGCCACGATGTGCCAGATGCAGAAGGCATGTCTGGTCTCTGGCATCTCGATTGCAATAGTTTCCTTCAACCACACATTCTGGTCTGTCAAAATCGTCTGTGGAGCCTTTCCATTCATAAAGCTTCTAAAGGCCTGCAATAACATAATGAACGTAAGAAAATGACACAATTGAAAAGCTAGCCTAAGAACTAAGATATCCTCATTCCTTACCTTTAATGCCCAAGAGAAGGACTGCACATTCTCATCACGCAAAAGCACACAACTGAAGAAACAGATCATGCCATGATTGTCTATACCAAGCCAAATGCCTAGCAGCATGTCATAAGCCTCCACCCGGTGAGTAGTATCGAAAACTACTGCATCTCCAAACGCCTCGTACGACTGAATCGACGAAGGATAAGACCAAGCTATATGCTCTAACCTATTGTTACCATCTATCTTGAACTCATATTTGAAGCTATGATCTTCATCCTTCATTCTCTTACACATGCCAAGAAGATCAACAGCATCATTGTCACGGTTCACATTTCTGAACGACTGCAAAAGGTTCCTCACATCAACTTCAGTAAACGGCAAACAACCAAGCTTCACACCTTTCTCCAGCTCCAACAACCTTAACATCTGACGAACCGACATCCCAGCTTTGGCAAACATACAAATCCTGCTCTTGTCATCGGGAGATATGGCGCAGTAAGCTGGAAGAAGAGAGAGCTCGTTAGATTTCAAGAGTTCGTGATTGTGGATATTGCTGAAACCTGTAACCCGCCATTCAGGGACGTCGAAATCTGCCCGTTTGACAACGCGCATATAGGCTTGGCACCCGCAGCGCAGCGACTTGCGGTTGCGCTGCATCTTCCCTCCGCCTCCGCTGCCGCCGCCGCTCTCCTCCAAGTGCTTCGTCTGAGGATAACCACCGCGGTGGCAGGTGAAATCTCGCCGGGTGACTCCCCTGCCGACGCCGTCTTTGCCGCGGGTGCGGTGGCGGCGAATCGAGAACCCGGACTGCTTGGCGAAGCTGCAGTAGAACTCGTAAGCGGCGTCCTGAGAGACGAATCGCTGGCCGACGAACGGCACGAGATTCACCGATGTCTGGCAGGACAGTATCATATCGTCTTCGTGCGTCTCCTCCCCCATTGCACCCGTATCTTCTTGAGACACGTCGGTTCCGTTCTCCGAGGACTCCATCAGGCTCGTCCCCTCCGACATTTTTTCCTATAACCTATCAGCGGAAAATCAGACAGCAATCTAACTCACTCACTCCACTGAGAATCGACGATTCAAGTCCGGAATCATAGACACCAGTTCAATGCTCGTCAAAATTGCCAAGATCGGTTCATTCCGAAAACCCTAGAAATCTCAGTCGATCGAGTAAACGGGAAACAGAAGAGCGTAAACGAATTTCAATGTTCGGTGAGGAACCGGAGTTTCAGCTGGAGGCCATAGAAAGAGCACGGAGGATTATGCATTCTCTGAACCGGAACATTCACTTGCCACCGAGCTCCGGCGAAAAGGCGACGTAGGGGAGACTGTATCCAACGATCTGTAACGAACTCGGAGTTTTCGGAAGGAATTAAAAATGGAGGAAGGACAAAATGGAGAAGAAGAAGAAATAAAAGCAAACGGGAAATGGCGGGGAAAGGATGGAGCAGAGCGCATCCGCTGGAGAACGATAACTGTGGGGAGAAGAGAAGAACTATCTTGCGCTGCGTGGATAGAAGAATCAGCCGGCGCGTACGGATCCCGACTTAAGCAGGGGGAAGGGATCTGTAGTTTTTTTTACTAGCTTATAACCCGGCCCATTGGCCGGAATGTTCATATCTGATTATTTATATTTTTATGTTACATTTAAGCCAATCAACCGGTTTAATTTTATTGACAATCCTTCGATCGAGATGATACATAAATAAAGAATATATAGGTCTAACATTCGGAGAAATACTATCATCATTTAAGAATATAAAATATAAAATGTATAATTAATTCCATTTTCATAATGTTAATTAAGCCATCGTTAAAATGTTATTGGTTAGTTGGTTTTCAAGAAAGAGGGTATAAAAGATCAGTGAAATTCCACACGACCCATAAATAGTTTGAAACTAAATCTAAATCTCACAATCCTACATAAGGGTTTAATGCGCTCTTTTTATGAACAATATGCCACTAATAAAAAAGAAATAGAGAGTTGTTGATTCAAGTCAACTATATACTAACAACTAAACTAAGAGAGGACCATCAAAACTTGAGAGCAAACGACAAAATTAGGGTTATCTCCAACACACTAATAGACTCAATCAAAGTAATAAGGCACAAAATTAGACACTCCTTGTCTATCAGTTCCAGTAGGTTGAATAAAGAATCGACCTACTTCAATAAATCAATCAATGATTCCTCGTTTTAAGATAAAAATATGTTGTAATAGATGTAAAAACCATAAACATAAGATCCAATAGCCACCACTCTTCCTTGTACAGCCAAAACTTTTTATTATCTCAAGAGACATATTTTCAACCAAAAATTCAATTTCGAATCCTCCTTCTGCAACTCCATTATTTATTAAACTCTTTTACTTTTCCAACTTAAATCCGCAAGAATAAAACTGACGTGCCAAGATATATCGGATGATTGATTTTCAAAGGCGACCTTGTATTGGAAAGTGAAAGGGGCGCAAACTATTGTACGTTGGAGGGAATTTCCTAGGAAGTTAGAAAGAGATAAGAACAAAGATAAAACCACAAATTTAAATTGAAAAATGCAAGGACGCAACACGTAGTGACAAAATTAGTTTTTTTCCATGTTAGCCAATTGCCAATTTACCTTTAGCAAAAATTAAGGAGAGAGAAAGAATTTTAAAATTTAGAAAATTACACGAAACTCTACTATGAAAATTGAAGTATCAAGCACCATAAAAATACATACGGTATACTTAGTGGGCTTGCTAATCATGATGGAAAGTCCTGTGATTTTCAGAGAGTTGAACTTCGTGTATATTTTGTATTCAAAAAGACACAACAAATTTGTTTAGCATAAATGGTTGTGATTGTTGTCTTTGTTTGAAGAGACCCGGGTTCGAATCTTGATATTGATATTTTTTATGTGAGATAAATAATTAATTGTAAAGACAAAAATGTCCTTCCTACTTTCACTCTCGTTGCAGGAAATTTGAAATGAAAAAAAGTACACAAAAGTGTACTATATATTATTGGTGGATTAATTAATTGATTTGAGACATAAATAAAATAATTAAAACTGAAATTAAAAGTAAAAGAGGGCAGTTGAGTCATTTCTCAGTTTAATTAAACGGTAACTAAAGAGATAATTAGATGCAAGAGTAGATTCGTTATATTTTGTTATGAGAATGACATGTTTGTGCAATAATTTAATAGATGAGTAAGTTTGTTAATTTACAATAATAAAGAGATACAAAATACTACTAACCCTTTTACTTACTATATTCTTACGTTCGAAAATAGGGCAGCAACTTATGAGGACCAAAAGACAGTAATCCCCTCCCCATAAACTTATTCAACATCTTTCTTTAGAGAAATTTTACAATGCTATATAGTATTGGTGCTATAGAATTTTGCTTTTATGGTACAACTTAAAATTGTACATTTACGTTATGATACAACTTAAAATTGTACCTATACTTTTTGTACAAATTCGTTTACGGTACAACTTGAACTTGTACATTTATGTGATGGTACAACTTGTTTTTCACATGTAGAAACAAATTCCTGGTTGATAAGACATGATTAAGAACTGGTTACTAGGAATTGCATGTAATTTCTAAACCAAATTGCACCAAGGCACCAAAGTGATGACGCTCAAATTAAGTGTGTATCACTTCCTTTATTTGATACATTTGTCCTTCTATCGATGCTATTTAGTAGTTTTTGACATATGTTATAAGGATTTCGTAATTATTTGATCAATGTGCCTAACTTAGATATTGAGTGTGATTTTATACTATTTTATGACTTTTGGTGTAATTTCTTGCATTTCGAAAATACAATATACTCAATAGGAATATGGAATAATGATGAACCAGAAGGTGGACGAGAATACAAGCTCGTGGGCGCAAACGGAGATGGATTTTGACATCATATGCTTACTTGATGGCCCAAATAACCATATTTATGAAGTAGCCCAACAAAATCAGCCCATTTGAAGAAGGAAAAACCCATGGTCGTGACATTACGAGCCCAACCGTTGCCAAGTCAAACCCATCAAGTCGCGACCAGATTTATAGGAGAGGTTGCTTATAGGCCAAGAAACCCAAATATGAAAGAAAATCCATGGTGGTGGTGACCTCAATGTGGCCGCCGTTAATCCTAACCCTAATGGAACCTTTTGGAATCTTCTACCTTGTCTCTAAGTCAAGAAATTCAAATCCTAATAGTACACAAACACTTTTGTATGAGTTTGTGGAGGAAAACACCCTAAAAACCCATTATCCTATCCTATGTGTTATAAATAGAGGCTTAAACTATAGTTTTTATAGACACTTTTTACACATTAAACAAATGAAGTTTTGCCAGAGCTTAACGAGGATGCCTTCACTATCGATGGCTCCATCATCTATGGTGATGTCTTCTTTATTGCTTTTGGCCAACTGCTCCCTTCTTCCTTGGACCTGTCTACGAATGTGAGATAAATGCTCCCTCAAATAGCTAGGTGCCTCCCTCTTGTTGAAGTTGAAGTCTTGGATTGCTGTTTGCTTCCCTATCATGTTATGTCATGGTCTTGACTCACCTAGGGGTGGTAATCGGTCGGTTATCGGTGTACCGTTTAGTTCCACATAGTTTTCGATTACCTGTACCGGAAGAAACTGAATACCTGGTTACCCGTTTAATCCATTCTAGCTTCTTTCATCTTCTCCAATCTCCACAAAGAAAGTGAGAAACCATTCCCCTTCTCCCTTCTTGTGATTCCTCTGCCTCCCTTTCTCCCTCCTCACATTACTTTCTTTAACTTCCCCATTAATCTTTTCATTTCATTTCATTTTCCCAACTTCCCCACTAATGTTGCCTAGCATTTAGATCTCCACTTCATAACGACGGCGATTATTTTTGGAACTGAAACCCAGTTTATTCTATGTTTATGGATTTTGGATTTGCTTTTTTTCTTTAGGATTGTCGATGCAACTTTTCCTTCACCATTCTCCAGTTTAGAGTTCCGATCGGTCCAACACCCTCACTTCCAGATACATGCAATGAATTATCGGAGAAGAAGCCTCAAGTAGCGAATCTTCAATCCGTCTGATTCTCTATCATCGATGGAGATGGTAGTGCTAGATCGGCGACAAGTCTCTTTCATCTGGATGAATCTCTTGATCGCAAACCAAGGAGGCGGAGGCTGGTCCAAGTTGATGGCCTTGTAGATCTCAGATTCGACGACGACGGTGGACTTACGGGGGAGAGGCTCTCGATCTCCAAGTCCAGATCTTAAAGCGCTTTGTATAGAGGAATCACTTGAGCAAATTAGAGACTATATGTAAATAAAAAACAAAGCGAATAATCAGATGTAGATGAGAGGAGTGTTGATGGTGCGTGATGGATGTGGAGGATGGTTACATCATTGATGGTCGGACTGGCGAAGGTGGTGACGACCGAAAACCTTTCTTCTCTATATCGAGAAGGCAACAAGGTCGAATAGAAGAGAAGGCTGGCAATAGGGGGTGCGAGGTCGGGATTGACAGATATTGGTATATCTGGTATACTGATTTGCCGCAGTTTGTTTACCGGATTGGATTCGGTATACCGATAGGTGGATTTTGGCTACCGCATGCTGGTACATTCGGTTACTGGTTATGCTGTTAACCGACAAACCGATTACCACCCCTAAACTCACCGAGCACGTGGTCGGCTCTCGCGACCTCGTGGTCACCTTGTCGCAACTGCATGGTCGTCTCACCTCCTCACGGTAATCTGGTCCTCTCATTGCGATCACGCGTTCATCTCATCATGACCTTGTGGTCACCTCGCTCATGGTCGCATGGTCATCTCCTTACGGTAGCGTGGTCATGAGGCATGAACTCATGACATGCCTTCTCAGGATTTAATCTACTTTGTGCATATGTCCTCGTAGCCTCTTCGCGACCACGTGTTCGCCTCATGCTCACAAGTCATGACCACATGGTCACCTCATTACGGTCACGTGGTCGTCTCCTTGCATCCGCACATGACATGACCCTTCTCATCACTTGGTCGTGGACCTCTCAAACTTAGTATTTTTTGGTTTCTTGATACTCGACTTGATTATCATTGTTTATTATTCTCATGGCATGGCAAGACCTCTTATGAGAGAGCCATGTCTCTTTTGACTCATACCAATGCTCGTAAAGGACTTAATGATTTGGGCTTAAAAGTCAAGATTCATAACACTCAACATAAATAAAAAAAATTTAGGCAAAATACACTTTCATAGCCACAACTTTCACGTTTGTGACAAATATAGCCACAACTTTCAAAATACACAAAATAACCATAAATTTGAATACCGTATGACAGATCTAGCCATTTCCGTTACAAACTATAACGGTGTCAGAGACGCCGTCAGTTCTGTTAGCGATGCGCTAATTAGGATGCCAAATCAGCATACACGTCATCACCAAATCAACGTCAAGTGACACGTAGATTACCCATCATATATACTTATAAATATCTAATTAAAAATAAAAATAAAAACTAAAATAAAAAATAAACTTCACTGCAAACCCCTTCCCTTCCTCCCACTCCCACCTCCACCTCCAACATCACTGTCATTTCCCCAGCCTACTCCAACGCCGATACTCCTACGACTCGCTTTTTCCTCTAGCGGCGTCGATGCGGGTTGGGTAAATGCAAGGCTCGAGCCTAATTTCCCTTCCGACCTTCTCTCTCAGTGGCTGACTATCGACATGTGAAAACCTAATCAAAATTATAGATTACTGTTTTTCGGCAAGGAAAAACTGGCGTTTGAACACAATGAATGCACCTTTGACTTCTTGCACAACGATAATTACACGGTTCACTCCTCTCCGAACAATGTTCGAACGAGGGTGTTTGATGGTTTTTTTTTGGAACTAGCTAGTTACGTTACTCTTACTCCTATGGAGGTTCAGTGAGAGCTCTGAAAACTAAGGCTATGGCTAATTTGCAGAGAAAAGGATAAAGTTTGACATTGTGCATCAAATGTTTGATTGTGGAACCCTTGCTTCGTTTTCACTTATCCTATTTATAGCCATCTCTTGTAACTGCCGTGTAACCGTCTCTGTTAACCGCTTCTCCTCTGCCTGGTGCTTGATGTAGCTTGCTTGACGCCTTGACTATCTAACGTGCTTGCCACTTGATACCTTGAACCTTGATGACTTCACTTGATAGCTATCCCCTTGTGCCATGGAGGTGTCTTGTTTGGTGAGTGAGGGCTTCACGCTTGGTGGTACTCGTGCTTAGGGATTTTAATGAGTCAAGGCGAGCTTTGCCATAGTTCGGTCTCGGCTCGTTAATATATTTCCAGACTCGAGCTCGGCTCTTGTTCGTCACGAGCTCGGCTCGTTTATGAAAATGAAAGCTCAAGCTCGGCTCGTCAAATAAGCTTAACGAGCCCAAAATCGAGTTCAACTCATAAAATCTTTATGATAGCTCAAGATTGACCTAGAATTGCGCACAAAATTACATTAAAACCTGTAGCAAAGTCTAGCAAAGTAAAAAACACAATATTTATCCCAATTTCAATACATCAAGTCCATGAATTCTAATCCTCTTTTTATGCCAAACCATTAAATGAGCTTGTTCGCGAGCTTTCGAGCTGAACATAGTATGGCTCGAGTTCGGCTCGTTTAGTTAACGAGCTTGTTCGCGAGTGTCGAACGAGTTTTTCTCCAGTCGCACACCGAGCCGTTCATGAGCGGCTTGGTTCATTAACAACCCTACTCGTGCTAACCACCCTCGACATTAGGGTGCTTGGGGGTCTAATGAATGCACATTGACCCCCTTGGGGTGGCATCATGCTTGCGAGGTCTTGACAAGGTGGTCTACCACGTGATGATATACATGGCTGACATAACATGCCTGCTACTTGTGATGATGTCCTTGCACGACACCATGTTTGACACCCTAGCACACGATAGATAGTAGCCATGGTGTTTAGTGCTTACCCCCCTTGCATGACATCATGCTTGACCCCCCCGGGATGATGTCATGCTTGACCCCCCTTGTGGTGGGTCTCAACACTTAGCCAAATTCTCACCTTCTGTCCCCATCACATATATGGATACTCTCGATGCCCCCCTTGCACGACATCATGCTTGATACCGGAGTGCAAGGGTAGGTAGGCGGCCATGGTACTTGACCCCCTTGCACGACATCATGCTTGACCTCTCTGGGATGATGTCATGCTTGACCCCCCTTGTGATTGGGTATCAACACTTAGCCACGACGCCATCCTTCACACCCTAGCACAAGGTAGCTAGGCCGCATAGTACTCTTGGTGTTTAACTCCATTGGACGATGTCATGCTTGACCCCCCTTGTGGTTGGCTCAGTGGCTCTCAACACTTAGCCAAATTTCCACTCCTTTGCCGCCACATCCTAGAGGTATACACGTTGCCCTTGTCTAAGGGTACTAGTGATAGCTCTCCTTGCACGACATTATACTTGACACCCTAGCGTAAGGTAGGTAGACGACATAGCGCTTGACCCCCCTTGCATGACATCATGCTTGACCCCTCTTGTGGTTGGGTCTCAACACTTAGCCAAAATTTTCCTTCTTCCATTCCACGTCTAGAGGTAGTTACGCAAGGTAGGTAGGCGGCTGGTGGGGCGAAATTTGGCTAAGTATGGTTGGGTGCCCACTTGGGTGGCTGATGTTGAAGGGTGTCAATGTTTGGCGCTTGACCCCCCTTGTGGTTGGGTCTCCATACTTAGCCAATTCTCATGCTTGGGTACTTGGGAAAATTTCATACCAAGGGGTTGGAGGCATTGTCCGGCTATGGCGGCAGCTAACCGCTATGCCAATGATAGGGGGCTTGGCCACTTAGTCCCAAAATCCTAATAAGGCCCAGCTAGCTCATTTATGGATTAATGTTGAGTTGGCCTTATAAATCCATGAAATCCTTTATAATTAATCGATGTGGTATGAGATTAATTTTTAGGTGTAAACAATTAAAAAACCAATTGAACTGATGCGGCTGGAAAAAGAAGAGAGCGAGATGCATCGTCAATCGAAGCTCCGTCGCAGCGGCTGCGCCGCCATCGATGCATCTGTAGTTGCCTGATCGCCATTGCCGTCCAGCCATCGAAGCTCGCGCGCCTCCGCACCGCCAGATCCTCACAGACACGCCGTTGCCGAGGCCACTACTGCGTCTTGCCGTCGTTTCCCTAACGCTTCTGCCTGCTTTGTTCGTTGAGGAGAGAAAGGAGGGATTGAATCATGAATCGAGAAGGCCAAAAGAGTCTCTTCTTCCGCCTTCCTTTACTGCTTCCATATCTACAATCGCGATTTGACAATCTGGTGGATATACTCCCGACTAGCAGAGAGCAAGTCACCGGAGCCAGCTATCTCGTGAGTTCGAATGCATCTCTCAAACCCAGCCCACAAGAACTTTTTCCGCCCAAAATCTCACTCTTTGCGAAGACGAATTTTGATTAGCTCCGTTCTGCATTGTTGTTTCTCGTTCGTGTGATTTAGGGGAAACTTGATTGTACAGTAAAAGTGGTTGTCAAAGGGTATGGATTTGATTTGCTTTTTGGGTTCTCGGTTTTTTTTTTTTAAAGACGTTCTCATTATTCTTGTAAGAGGAAAATTGTCACCATAATTATTTATATATTTTATTTATTTAGTTTTTTTAATCCATGTGGATTTTCACTGACGAAATGCCGTTAGGTCAGCATTTTCGCCAGTCCAGTGGGATTATTAAGTAACACGGTTAAATGGATGGATGGAAATGGCTATTTTGTGTATTTTGAAAGATGTGGCTATAGTTGGCACAAACATGAAAGTTTTTGGCTATACAAGTGTATTTTGCCTAAAATTTATTGGATTGTAAATCTGAGTATCCGACCAGTTAGGGGTGAACAATTGGCCCGAAAGCCGACCCATTTAAGAAACCCGACCTAAGCTATATTACACGGGAGGATGAGGTTTCTGAAATGAAGAATATATTGAGTATTGGGTTGGGTACGAGTTGGGATTTTAAAACCCCAGCAAACTCAAACCAACCCATGCACACAACCAGTAAGATGACAAGTTGACAACACATATAAAGATAATTTTCCTATCTCTATCTCTAGGATTCCATGTCTTCCTTTCATCCGTCGCCCTCCCGGCCTCCCTCATCAGTTCTTCCTTCCATCTCCCCATTAAACACGAGCATCTCTCTGCCTTCAATCTCCCTTATCAATTCTGCCTTCCAACTAAGATTCATGTAATCCCATTCCTTTCATCCGTCGCAAGTGAAAACCTTGATATCATAAACCCAATCTTCCGTGCGTTCTCTCATCGGTGAAGCCAACGCCCACGACAACTTGAAGCAAGGCAAGAGCATGACGCGTTTAGGAGACGGAGATCCCTGCCCTTCGGAGATCTAGAGGAACCACCAGCTGCTTCAATCGTTCCGTGAACACAATCTCCTCCGCCTTGACGACCATCGATTCTTCCGCGCGCGCCTCCCTACTGTGGGTCTCTTTCTTTGGATTTCTTCTTCTTCCAAGTCAAATCTAGGGAACAATCGTCTCAATCTGGTTCTTGTTTCTTTCATCGGTGGAAGCCAACTGCGACGACGACTTAAAGCAGGGCAAGAGCAAGATGCTTCCACCGCTAAAATTTATCGCATCTCTCTATGGAAGCCTCTATTTTTGATCAATTGTTGTGGCTCGGATTTTTTCGGATTATAAACCATCAAAACCGACCCAATGGACACAAAACCCAATAGGGTTTTAAATGTTTCAGGTGAGTTTGGGTTGCGATTTATTAAAACCGACATGTAAGGGTCGGGTGGTCAAAATGGTCCCAAACCGATCCACCCAACTCATGTTCATCCCTATCTGATCTTATAAAAGCATTAATCATCTTGTAAATTATCAATATGACACACCATAATTTTTAGGCGTTAACAGTTCCTGAATTGATCAACCACACGACTAAATTAGAAATTGACTAAATTTTATGTCATCGAGCGTGAACTAGGAATATATCGTCTTTTACTGAAAAGAAAAACAGAGAGTATGGTAGGACTGCAAATGAGCCGAGTCGAGTCGAGTTTTACCCCAACTTGAGTTCGGCTCGAGTTCGAGCTAGCTTGTTTATTAAAATCTTAACTTTTATTTGGTACTTAATTTTGTATATCATGATACATATGATTTATTTTGTTAGCTAATCTATACTTTGTTGGTATCATATATCATTTAGTTAATAAATTTTAACTACTCCAAATCACGTTATTTCATAGTATCGAAGCAATCTATGATGCATAATTTCTTTTGAAAGTAGAAAATAAGATATATTTGCTTACATACTCAATGTGTTAAACTTTATATATGGTGAGATATATAATTTAACAACCATATGAATTAAAATCATAAGATATAGATTGATTCGTCCATAAGTTGGTAATCGACTTGGCTCTCTAACCACATGTTAAGACATATCCCCTATGTTTGGCCCGACTTTTAGAAGTGCTTTTCGGCTTCAAAAGCCGAAGCAGGGCCAAACACCTCTAAAAGCTCGGCTTTTGAAAAGTCGAAAAGCGCTTTTGTATAACATAAAAGCAGAAGCTCCGATTTGGAGCTTCTGCGAAAAGCTGTTTTGAAAATACAAGATTATCCTTACAATATTTTAATTTTATTTCATAAAATATAATTTTCCTCATTTATATCATTTTAAAAATAAAATAAATTATAGAATCATATTATTTAATATAAAAGAAATCTAACAAGATCCAATTTGACTGCTTTTTATTGTTCAGAATTTTTATTCATATTTTATATTATAAGTCTTTTATAATCATTTTACACAACCTCTCATATTAAAAAAGTATTTTTAATAGTTTTACAACCAAACACTCAACTCCTTTTTTTGAAAAGTACTTATCCAAAAGCTATAGCAGGGCCAAACTAAGCTATTATGAGCTCTAAATGAGTCAGCTCACGAGTTTAGCTCAATAAACCACCGAGTCGAGATAGCTCGCGAGCTTCACGAGCTGAACAAAGGTGAGCTCGTATTCGCTCGTTTATTAACGAATCGAATTTCGAACGAGATTTTCTCGAGTCGAACGCCAAACTGCTCGCGAACAGCTCTGCTCATTTGCAGCCCTGGAGCTTCGATTTGCAATAACTCCATTCCTTAGATCCGGGCCGGGCCGGGCCCAGTCGTTGCTAATATAGGACTTTTCTGAAGACATCCCGATCCTCCTCCGTGAGCAGGCCTTTTTACCCCGCTGACGGACGTTCACTCATCTCAATCCATAGTAGCTGTCAGAAGAAAAAAAATTCCTTCTTCCACGCAATCGACGGACGACACTCAGTCTCCGACCACCACTCCGGACACGTGTCATCCATCTACGCCCGCTCTTACGTGCAACGTGCTGTGACGCTATCATACGTGAAACACTCAATAGAAAATGGCGAAAACAAACTTCGGTCGGGAATTTGAAATTTGTTCCCCTCTGCCAAAAGAGACGTTATGTGGCCCTTTATTTGAACTGAGAAGAAAAACAAGAAACAAAGAAGATAGTAGTAGTATAAGTATTCATGGCGTTTTTCTTTTTCTCTCTGGGTCTCCATTAAATGCAGTTGAATTGAACTATTGCAGCAGTTGGCAAAGAAAGAACGACAAGACCTTTCTTCTTCTCACTTCTTCTTACAGTCCCTGTCGCTCTCTCCGATCTCTGATAAAATCTCTGTGCACCGTAATCTTTACTTGCACCTGTTCAAGAGCCAGAGCGTGAAAGACCAGAGCATTTCTCTCCCCTTCTTCTTCATATTGATTCAACTCTGACATTTGACGAAAAGAAACAGAGTTGTTCTTCAATGAAGAGGCAGAGCAGTTCGACTTTCTTTCTTGGCTCGAATTCCAGGCTGATTCCTCGCATTGCTATTGTGAGTCTTTTGTCCCTACTGAGAAAAGGGTTTTTACCTTCTGGGATTTCCCTTTTCTTCCTTTTCCAATGTTTCCGTTGAATTGCGGCAAAGTGGGTCTTTTCTTTCGGTTTCTAGTCGTGATTCGTTGATCTTGGTTCATGGGGGAAATGTAGTTTCGGCTTGTGTGGATTTCTGGGTCCTGTTCTGCTCGTAAGAAAGTGATAGTCTTTCCAGCTGATGATGCTAATAATGCTGATTTGAGATCGGCTATCTCCCTTCTTTTCTTTTTTTTTTCGCTCGCCTAATGTTTGATGGAATGCACAGTATGCTAGCAATTGAGCTCATTTCCCATCTTAGGTGTCTAGAAAGTTGAGCTCTTTCCAGATTACATACGGAGCTGTAGTTTGTAGAGAATTGATTTTAATGTTTGACTCTCATTGATTAGTAGATACCCATCAGCTAGGGTTTTAATGATAAAACAATCTGCTGTTATAGGATTCTGCTGATGAATGAGGTCAGCCATCTGTTTGCTTGACAAGGGCTTGATACTTGGTCCAAGGAGATGAGGATGGAGAGGGAAGGTGGAAAGAATGGAGGAGGCTATACGGGTGGTTTCTTTCAGCTGTTTGACTGGTCTGCAAAATCAAGGAAGAAATTGTTCTCAAGCAAATCAGACTTACCAGGTACAAATAAATTACTGGTTTACATTTGCTTTCCAGACTACATTATCAAGGTTTTGCTTAATCTTGTTCCATTTCGTTGTCTCTTCATAGAACGATCAAAGCAAGGAAACCGAAGTGATGGAAACTTGCCAACAACACGGTTTCGTCTGGTAAGCTATTTCATTTGGGAATCTTGGATTCTGCTGATCAAATTGCATCACTTGTATGATCACCATTGTTTATGTATATGATATGATTCCTCTTGTGGTGATTTTACACCAGATGGATGACGACGAACTTGGAGGAAGACCATGTAGCATAAGAAGTGGTGGTGACTACAGTTGTGCTTCTTCAGTCACTGATGAAGACGGATATGGAGGAGCTAGGCCAGCTGGAGCAATAGCAAGGCTCATGGGACTCGATTCCATGCCAACGACATCCAGTTTCCTCGAGCCCAAGTGCACCACCGAATTTTCCGATACCCAGTCACTATGTGAATCTTCTTCTCACAGTAGCAGGAAGCAATTCACTTACTACCATCATGACTACCACAGCATGTACTCGGGCGATCTGCCACATAGGCCTCAAAAGGCGGTAAGCAGACCTATGGAGAAGTTCCAAACCGAAGTCTTGCCTCCCAAGTCTGCTAAATCGATCCCTATTACTCATCATAAGCTCCTCTCACCTATAAAGAGTGCCCATTTTGTACCGAGCCATACTGCTGCTCACATTATGGAAGCCGCTGCTAAGATCATCGAGTCTAGTCCACGAGCTCCTCCTCCCAAGCCAAAGCTCTCTTCTTCATCATCGGCACCCTTGAAAGTTCGCAATTTGAAGTCGAGACTTGAAACCCGTGATCATGTGAAGGAGAAAACTGCTGCTCGGAAGCTTAGCGAGTCGAACACTGCTAAGTGCTTGAAAGGCCAACCTATGAACAAGAGCTGGAATGGATCAACTGTTGATGCAGCAACTACTTTTAGGGTTTCTCAGGAGCTGGAGGAAGGATCTTCTTTGTCTTCTGGTCAAAAGAGCAGGGGAAAATCTGTATCACTTGCTGTCCAAGCAAAGGTTAATGTACAACAGAGAAGAGAAGGCTTGAACTCGAGAGGTAACCGAGGTGTAGAACAACAACAACAGCAACAGCAGCAGAAAGAGCGAGAAAGTGGTGATGTGGCAACAAGCCAGCAGCCATTCAGGAGTCAACAACCAAATTTCCAGAAGAATTCATCTCAGAGGTCTGCTTCTTCGTCACCAGTGCTTAGACAGAATAACCAGAAACAGAATTGCTCAATGGAGAAAGATAAATCATCCCCAAAGCCCTCCATTTCAAGTGTCCAGAGTCGAAAAGTAAACTCAGTGAATCCTTACGAGCGACCCAAAGCTTCAGGAAAATCTTCTGCCGGTTATAGGTATGGGTCCAGGAAATCAGGCACAGATGAGGGTCGTTCATCAAACTACACTACAAAGAACACTCCCCCAAGGAAGAAACGGTTAATAGATAACATGTCGATTGACAGAAGCCCAACGGAGGAAGCTGAGAACTATACTTGGGCGGCAGAAGAGAGCAAGAGGAAAGGAAGTGATGTAGTGTCATTCACATTCACAACTCCTCTTGCAAGATCTACATCAATGCCCGAAACGCCTAATCGTAGCAAGAGATTGTTGGTCGATGCAGAAGCCATAAATTTGTCTTCAGGAGGAGATGCTCTGACTTCGCTATTAGAGCAGAAGTTGAGGGAACTAACTGATGCTGTTGAGTCCTCTAGACGCAATACCATTAGCAAAGTTGGATCAGCTGATGTTAAGGAACAGCAGAAGCAGCAGCAACTACTATGTCGAGAGAAAGTGGTTGGGGGCTATGGGGCTAATTCGTTTTCACCTGATCCTGTGGCATATAGATTCAAACCTATATTTCAGGTACCTATATTCTCTCTCTCTCTCTCTTTTCCATTAGGAGTGTTCATATCCTGGTTTTTGTGGAGTTATATGTGTGACTTGCAAATTTAGCAGGGGGGAGTCGATGCAATGGAGGAATGCAGCAGCAGTAGCAGCAAATATTACGATGCTGAAAAGCTGCTAGATTGCAGGCGGCCAAGCCCGATCTCGGTTCTTGAGCATTCTTTCTCAACTGAAAGCAGCTGCACATTGGAGAGCATGGACAGTAGCAGTACAGAAGGTAAATTTCTGTGGTTATGTTTTCACAGGCTGCAACTTGTTAGTGCAAATTTGTGCAACTTCTAGACAAGTTTTTCTCTGTGACTTTCATAAAAGTTCTCATCTGTTTTCATCTCTGTATGACTTTTCATCTAAACAGGCAAGCAGTGCTCATCCTCTATTCAAGCACAGGAAGTCCTTAGCTTTACTTTCCCAAAGAAACGTCACCAACCATACGCTGATGCAGAGCTACTTGATTCAGCTTCATCTACAAGCTCTCACACATTACCAGACTTCAATAAACAAAGTAACTGGGAGGGTGAATACGTGAAGAAGATGCTTGTCTATCTGGACTTGATGGTCCATGACTTTGCAATTGGTAGGTCCCGAGAGGTCGTGAACCCTCACCTCTTCAGCCAGATAGAGAAAGACCACAGTGATCAGTGGAAGCTTGAAAAGAAGGTGCTGTTTGACTGTGTGAGTGAATGCCTGGATTGGAGATGCAGGAGATACATCAATTGCGGGTACAAAGCGTGGGAAAAGGGAGTTACTGTGATGAGAAGAAAAGACTGGTTGGCCGAGGAAGTGCAGAAAGAGATTGTGTCGTGGAGAAAGATGAGAGACTGCATGGTGGATGAGCTTGTGAACAAGGACATGGGAAGCCAATATGGGAATTGGCTTGACTATGAAGAAGATGCATTTGGTGTTGTTGGAGAAGGGATTGAAGGGTTAATACTCGATTCATTGGTTGATGAACTGGTTGCCGATATCCAGAAGCACCCTTGATTGATCCGGCAGAGGATTGAAGATGAGGGTTACTCTGTTCAATGACGCGTGAAAGTGAGATTGGATTTCTTCTTTTCCATTCAGGTATCTGCTGGGTTTTCTGCACTTGTAAGGAACCATAGGTTCTTAAACCATGTCTTAATTGCATTTTGGCTTTCTATAAATAGGTGAAAGGTTCTTTTATTCTATAAAAGAAAATTGTAGGTAAAGTATTTTTGTCAGAATTGCAGGCCATTTTGATTCTCTTCAGACCTGGAAAGTACCCTTTTCAGAGGCATTCATAACACACTCAACAGACACTCTTCAAAATCGAAACTTGATTGCATTGACATTTACCTACGGATAAAGGGTTGGCAAATTTTCAGCAATAAAGTATCCTTTTCAACACCCTAAAAGTTCTTAAAAATCAGGCCTTCATCAAGGGTTGTCAAATTAGTAATCAAACCATTGAAGATTAGGAAAAAGGAGGCAAAATCTGCAGCCATTTCATTCCTTTTGCAGAGAGATCAATTCAACAAACCTAACAGGGCTCTAAAGAATCATGCTATGTGGCTATAACATAGAAAAGCTTCAAAGGGTTGTCAAAAACAGCAATCAAATTACGAATAAGAAGAGACCAAAAACTGCAGCAATTTGATTCCCTTCCTCTTTGAAACGTGGAAAAAAGTACCTTTTTTTTCTTCTCCTCAGAGAGATTCATTCAAACACCAACTAATCAGACCTCTATGGTCTCTCACTGTACACATAATTAAACATAAAAACTAGGGTAATCAAACATAGTAATAAAACTCATAAAGATGATCGAGTTAACAAACCAGATAAGCCAATCCAATTCGTTTCCCCTTCCACAGCTTCCTTCATCCCTTTCTATTGCAGCTGTTCATTACCATCCAAGAGCCAAGACAAAATGCTGCTGTCTTCTTCATCCCAATGAATGTTCTGAAGCTCGTCCCCTCCAGTAATCTGGTCCCAGTCCAGCCATTCTTCCCCTTCCTTCTCCTCCCCTTGACCATGATGTTCGCAGATACAGTTATTACTGTTACTAGTTGTGCTGCTGCTACTGCTATGATTGCCTCTGTTACTCACACTCTCCACCACCATCATTGCACCAACTCCACCGTTCTCCAAGCCCCAACTTGCCTGATCCGCTGCTGGTGCAGCCTCTTTCCCCTGTTCTCCATTTCCTTCTCCATCTTCAGTGCCATGATGGAGCTTGCATTTAAGCCGATTCATTTCACTATCCAGCCATTCATACGGTCCCAAAATCCCATCTCCATCTTCTTCTCCCGCAACAATACCCACGTTTTCCTCCAATTCCATCATCAATTCTCCACCGTCCAAACCCAAATCCAAGCCGCCACCACCTTCGCTCCCCTGTTCCCCGGCGGAGGTAGTGATCCCGCTAAGGGGATCTGCAGTTTTCTCGTCTTTCTTGGGGACAGGGTTCTCTAATTTTCCCGACGATGATAATGCCTTTTTGCGCTTTCTGCTGCTGCGCGCCGCGGCGGCGGAGACGGAGATAGCGCTGACGTTCGGCTGCCCATCGTCGGCGGTAGAAGAGTAGGTGGAGGAGGCGGTGGAGGAGGCGGAGGAGTCGAAGGAGGAAGAGCGGCGGAAGGTGAAGATCTTGCGGCTCAAATGAGAGTTCCAGTAGTTTTTGATCTCGTTGTCCGTTCTTCCCGGTAATTGGGCCGCTATCACCGACCACCTGGAAAATTAATTGGGCCCCCCACAATTAGTATGGAAAATTACGCATAACGGGCCGAAGTTACAGAAACTAGCTGGAATTGGACTGGACCGGACGAGTAAAAATGAATTGTGGGCTTGTTCATTTTTTTTTTTTAAATCTCAAGGCTGCAAAATGCAATTGTTGCCAGGCCATAGGCCACCTAGGATGTGACGTATTGATTAGGGATGACGTGGCTCCTAAACTTTTTTTTTCTTCTTCTTTTGCCAAAGACGTGGCTCCTAATTACACCGACGGAACATGACTCGTCTATTAATTGAAGGAAAGGAATTGACAACCGACAAATAACCATATGGAAAATAAGGACACATTATTAATTAATTAACAAGGACACATTATTAATTAATCCTTCTAGAACAGCAACAATTAATCAATTAATTAATATATTAACCTAAAAGCCTAAAACAAATCATCTAATTAATCAAATGTCACAACTAGTTTTGTCATGTACAATGTCACCTCACTCAAAAAAGCTAGTTTTTTTTTTCTTTTATATGGGAGATTTGCTCACTCATGATACACATTTTTAATTTTCTATTCATAGTGAAGAATAATATTACAAAAATTCATTTTCATCTCTTTCGAGTTTGGTAAACTCACTGCGTCGTTGAATATCGAAATGTAGTAGTTTGATTTTTCAGTAAGCATTTTAATATAATATTATTGTTCATTTATGTACACAAAATACGATGAATTTTTACAAAATTTAAAATTAAAGATAACTTAGTATTTAAGAATGATATACCATTAGTTTTCCAGGTCTAAATCAATAACACGAGTTAAGAGAACCAGCCACCAAAGAATTGGACTTGATATTTAATTAGTACTCAAGCATAATGAATTATTTAATTCCCATAAATTATGAAGATATTTTTGTTTGTTTGTTGGCATGGTACAACTAAATATCATATCTTCCAGTGTGCCCATAAAAATAATAAATTGCCTAGGTTCTACAAAAAAAATGTAGGATCCATTTAATTAAGCCTTCAGTCTAATCCAACGCATTTAACAACAAAATCCCCCCCCCCCCACCCCTCCAACGATTATTAAACAAGGATGGATTGCAAATCTGACCTTCCTAAACAACGACACGTCAAATATTTGTATTACGCGAACAACCGTTTGTACATAGATTTGAACACATAGGACGTAAGTTGTACGCACGTAACGATCCCTGAACTGAAAAGAAAAACAGAGCACAGTAGAAATAAAGTTGAGTCTCATGGGTTTTTTCACAGGTAATAACGTGACACGAAGGGGACAGCCCACAATAAATAGAATAACCACCAAAGTTTGTGTTTCACTTAGTGAGGTGTGGGGGAAGAAAAGGGGCAAGCCGGCGGTTTAGGACGTGCTTTCATAAATTTCTAGGGTTGCTAGTTTGGGCTACTCTCGTGCATTGATTGTCCCTTAAGATGGTATGGCTTAATTTCAGCTATGCAATTCCATTTGTACGAATGAACACAAAAATGGACTTCTGAGGGTTGCTAAGATGTTGAATTGAGTAAACAAACAAAACTTGGGTTTGTGTACTTTCCATAGTGTTGGTGACAAATCAAAATAAAAGCCTAGATTAAAATGCTTACGACTTTCGAAGGGAAAGGAGAAATGACGTGAAGTTCGGTGTGTTCTAATTTGGCTAATATATTGATAGCGCGGTAGTTGTGTCGTCTGTCGACATGGGTTGACAGCAACACGGGATCTTACAAAATAAATTTTGGTAAGTGATGTCCGATACATTTAGTGGTTCTAAATCATACGGCACGTGCTAATGAGTCTATCCCCCGTTATCACGTGCGAAATCCAACAAGTTAATCACCGATAGCCGATCAGAATCTCGATATCAATGAAATCAAAGCAAAACATGAACGTATCGATCAAGATGGTGACCCGGAATTCTAATGACGAGAAAATTATGACCTGTGACGCAGGACCAGAGAGTGATGATTCAAAATGATGGGAAAGAAAAAAAAGGTAAGGCAGCTGTCAATACGAGTTGACAGCAACACAGGATCTTACAATATTTTCTAATACATAGAGAAGGTTCTAAACAGCTAACGAGGATATCCTCGTCACCACGTGTGAAATCCAACAAAGTTGAATTACCGATAGGATCTTGCTATTAATGAAATCATACAAAAAAAACGAACATATCAGTCGGGATGGCGACTCGAATTCTAATGACGAGAAAAAATTATGACCGACCAACGCCGTCGTAAGTAACCATAAACCAGATGAGAGTGATGATTAATCAGAAATGATGAAAAAAGATTGTAATCAAAGCCCAGCTTATGGACACCGATTGAGATCGGTCTGACACTCAACTTCTAGTTTTGGGCTCCATAGATATTAAACCTTTTGGGACCAACATCGTCAAACTAGTAAGAAGGTCAAGTAATGACAAAAGGGAAGCGAAATAATACCTATTGCCAAGAGACTTGTGGAGCTTAACGATGGTTTCTTCTTCCTCCTTAGTGATGTTGCCTCTCTTCAGGTCTGCCCTCAGGTAATTGATCCACCTCAGCCTGCAACTCTTCCCACACCTCAACAGCCCTTCTCCCACAGAGAACAACGAAGATGGTACAAGTTCATAACATTGGGTCCAACAACATTGTGATCAAAGAAAACAGAGTCGAGAGAAAACAGAGCAAAAAAAAAAAAAAAAGAAGGGTTTTGTGGGTTTACCGGCGTTTTTGGGGAGGGAGCGCCATTTGCCCTCGCCATTCTGTTGAATGTAGGAGGTCAAGATCTGGTCTTCTTCGGCCGTCCATCTCCCTTTCTTCAGCCCAACTTTCTCGCAGCAGGGCGCTCTCCCCATCACTGCAGCAGCAGCCTATGATGAAGACGAGAAACGAAGAAAAAAAAAAGGCAGAGAGGAGGAAAAGCAGAGTAGTAAAAAGTAAGCAGAGAAGTGACAGTAGAAGAGTACTATATACGAGCTGGGGGGTGTGAGAAGAGAGAAAGAGAGGGAGGGATGGTGGCGATTTCGACACGTAGTGGGAGTAGGGAGTGCCACGTCTGCTGATTAAATTTTTAGGAGTTAACTCACACTGAAGCTGAAAATGTGACTAAATGGGTGTATACTACTGTATAGCAAATGTGACTAAATCAAGTTGGCTAATTACCAAGTTTAGTAGATTCTTGTGGCAACCCAGAATTGGAGAGCAATTTTGCACAACAAAGAGAACATTTATGGTTTCAGTTTCATCATCTTGGGGAGTTTTTTTTTTTTTTGGGGTTTACATATATGTAAGTTTTTGTTGGTTATGTAAATCTCCAAGCTGGAGGGGATCTAGGGAGATTTTTTTGCTTTTATGTTCTTTCTAATTCGGAGTAGTATAACGGGTAACCATATGAATGATGGATTATAATATCCTATTGATGGAAAGTCGGTAATGATTCGGTCTATATTGGATCAAAATCGTATGTTAACTTTCATTTATTTTTGTACTTGAGATTTATGTTTTTCGGTTACTGCTTGTGCGTTATTTCGTTCTAGTAACTTATTGTAATACCTTTCCCAAAAGAACTCTAATTGGTACCCCAAATCCCACATGTTTTCTTCGTCTCCTTTTTTGTTTTTGGGATGAATGGTTTTCTCCATCTCCTTATTGCTCAATAAGAATTTGTATTCTAATGACTCTAATGGGTATCTTACATATATCACGTCTATATAACAATTAACAAGTTCATCTTAGTGATCGAGATGATTTGAACTACAAAACAATAAATCTGATATAGCGTTCTTTAATTAACCCGAATAATTTTCGAGTTTAACGATACTTTTATTAGATCGATCCGAAATGTTAACCGAACCGAGCCATTGCACTAACCCACAGTAATGATGACCCAATGACACTCATGGACGGGAGACGGTAGAGGTGGAGAAGGGAAAAGCACAAGTGTGGAAGTGTACGCACTGTCTCCTTTCCTTCTCCTATTTCCGGAACACTCCAGGTATTAGTTTCTTTTTCGGGGGGTTCGTTGGACACATTCAATGCAAGACAGTTGGGGGGTTCTTTTGGTGGGAGAAAGAAGATATCTCAATCGATCTTTCTATTCTCTCCCTTTCCTTGGTTCCCATAATGAAAAAACAAAGCTCTCAAACTTTGGTAGGGAACTAGGGATGACAATTTCGATCTTTGTCCTATACTTGTTTGATCTATTCGTAGGTGGAGTGGGACGGACGGGGATGAGTATTTCACTTTGATATGTGTTGAGGGTACAATTAGTAGTTTAAGGATAGTTTCGTGTTTGGTTATGTAGGATTGATTGGGGTTTCGGGTCCAAGGCTATATAATGTATTTAATTTTATCACTATGAATATTATAAGAAAAACATATCAAAGTATTGTTAGATGTATCCGTATTCTCTCTAATCTCGTCAAGAACCCTAACCCCCAAGGCCCCAATTCTAAATCACCCATTTCTGCCCAATTCCCTCTCAACCAATCTAAATCTCTTTCTATATTATATCCTACTACGTCAATCCGGGTGCCCAAGATCCGCGCCTGCAACAAATTGATATCAGAGCTCCGGTGAACTCATTATAGTTTTATTTTGTTTTATATACTATTATATATACTCAGACTCGCAAACCCTAATCGATCGATCTAACATAACAAATTATTAAACTCCCTTCAAACATTAATAGTACCCTCAACAATCTGACCCACCTTGACATGCTCAAGTTCGGCCCGTTATGTCTAAATTATTATTTATTTTACTTTTATTATATAATATTTTAACTATAGTAAAGTTGTAATTATTTAATAACTTTCATTTCTAGAATAATTTAACTTCATTCATCACGCTATGGTTTATTTCTTCATTTCTAATGAAAAAATTAACCGGACACCACCTATAATGCGACATACATAGGTGTCGAGATACCCACCCCGATTTACCCTATTCTCATCCCTTACATAACCCACACATACAAAGGGAGAGGAGAAAGAAAAAAAAAAAGTGCATAGTGTAATACGTGCATAGAGTTGCAAACGTTAAATGCTTATCGTTCTAGCTAGCCGGTGGAGCTCCCCATCCCGCCATATAACTTCCTCAATCTCCAACGCCCATTTCCCTCTTAATTTCATTCCTTTTGCCTCTTCCCTGTAACGCCCTTTTCAGCCGAAAGGAAATGCGAACAAACAAGTTGCCCGCTCGCTCCATATGATATCATCGAGCATGGGCATTTGCGGTTGGCTTCAATGTGATGGAGACTCTCAGTTTTCTTCTTTTCCTTTCCATGGGGTTTTCTCACTTTTACTTTGGTCGTTCTACTTATTTTGGCTCAAATTAGTGGGCATTTTACCTTGTTGAGTGATACCTAATGGATTTAGATTTGAGAATTTCAGGTTCAAAACCAACGGTATCATTACAAAACCATGTCTCTGTTCGCACGTTTCCTCACTCCAATAGGGAGGTAGTTCAGATTTATACATGAAACTCTCTCTCATATATGACATAGTATCATAACCAGTTTGATAGTGATATCACGTGTTCGAATCCTCGTAACCTTCAATATTAATAATTGATTCAAAATATATAATATCGCGGATCTGTACAAGGTTTCCCGACCGGCGGCCGGCACTCACTCCTGTAGCTTAGCTAGCCCACACCACTAGCCACGTGAATCACTCGCTAAACCTTGTATCATGGATAAAATCAATGTCTTGAGGGCACCCATTTTTCAATCAAGAAGTTGCCGTGTATGGATACATTGTGAATTGACCTCTTCAAGCTAAAAAAACAAAAAATTAAACACTGCTAATAATCTCGTCGGCATGACGGCTAAATGCTTGCCATTACGAGACAAAAGACAACTTTGCTTTTGCCACAGGAGAGGAGGATCTGGGGTGTGAAGCAAAACAGCAAAGAGTGCTGCCGTCAGGGAACTGTGCAAATTCGGCACCTCTTCTCCCCCTCCGCACATTACCCGCCAACGTCGCGCTTTTTCCCCCGCGCCGTCGACAAATCGACAAATTTGTCATTTTCGTCGAAAAGTCAAGTCAAACAGATATGACGACACTCTCACTCTCTAACTAGCTGGTGATCGGATCCGCTATAAAAGGTTTTCATTCCGCCACCGAGGTACGAATCAAGCTTGAGATTTAATGTGCCCCAGGAATTAAGACGGCTGCGCTGTAAAGGTCTCTTCTCTGTAGGGCGGTTCTCCAAAGAAAGGGTAGGAGCAGCAGTAGTAGTATTCACACTTACACAGCAGCAATTAAAGTCTCACCGTCGTTGTAGTACCCTATATACCCATTGCATGGCATTCATTGGCAACTTGCGCAATGGGCCGCCACCTCCTCCTCCTAACCTTTTAATCACCTTCGTCATATCTTCACTACGTGGTCCTCGCCGACCGGGAAAGGGCATGCTGTCTGATCGAAACAAACAAACGAAACGCAGTTTAATCATATCCAATCCGGCTCGATTCAACTCAAGCATCAACTCGGTTCAGCGAGAACCGACTTGTTGCATACCCCTCAACCCATGATCATGAAAACCGCCCCACGCATTCAAATGCGGGGCTTGTGTTCAGTACGTCTCGGCGAAGAAGAGTACACTAGCCTATATACACGGAGCTATGGAAGTGAATGTCTCCGAGAAAGAAAGAAGAAAAAAATGCAATTGTATTTACAGAGCTGATTGAGATAAAATGTTATATGTACCATGACCAACAGCATCGACAGCAAGTGTAGTTTTGCATTATCGAAGATCCAAGATCTCGAACTTCATCTTAGAGTTGAGGTAGACGTGGGAGCAATGCTCGTAGATGGGGTTTCCATCCAAGGGCTCCTCATGGGGGTGGAAACCCCTCTGCTGGCAGTTGCGGATCACAGATACTCCTCCTGGGTCTGATAGATGAAATATTCCGTGTGGGCTGTGCAACAAGAGCGTTGAAACCAAAGCGGTCAAAATCGGGATTTTACATAAAATAAAAAATGGGGGTAAAATCGGAATCGTAAAATCATAGGATTTTAAGGTCCATATAAAAATGAAGACAAAATAATATTAGTAAGGAAGATCATGAATAACACAAAAGCACAAAACACTTAACAATGATAATTTTTCAAGGTTAAGGTACCAATTTATCAAGGTTAATGTTAAGAGGAGGTGGTGAATTGATGATGATTAATACATTGATGTGAATTGATTATAGTCGATGGTGGTTAGTGTGAGAACTAGATGATGTTGGTGGAGAGAAGAAAAAGAGGCGTAATTTTGCAAATTCTCGGGGAAATAAGTAAACTTGACTCAGATTTGAATCGTAAAATCGTAAGATTTTAAGATCCATAGATTTTATAATGAAATCATAATCGTAATAGGTAAGTAAAATCGTAAAAGCGTAGGATTTTAGGATTTAAATCGGAATTTTGACTACTCTGGTTGAAACAAATTAGGAATAGGACTAAATAAAGAGATCTTCGGGGATGTGTTGTGGAAAAGAAGAAAACAATGTTTCTACCTCGATTCGTCGGTTGGAGCCATGACTATGGCGATTGCTTCGGGTAACATTATCTGGAAAAAGAAACAGGTGACTGGAAATTTAGCAGATGCATTCATAAGGAGATAATCCCTGTGTCTACACGAGAAACAAACAAGAATAAGTGGGTGTTGGTTAATGGACATACCTGGTAAGAGTAATGTGTGTGCAGATCGACGGATGACATAAAACAGGTTTGCGTTGGATGTGTCTGAAATCAACGAAGCACCAACATGGAAAACAATGAGCATAATTCTCAGGCTAATCCACGAAGTAAATATAGAGAAGTAAAGTCCGCATACATGGATCCATCCAAGGGGAAACAACGAGAGTTTGTCTTGAACGTCAAATATTTCTTCTTCATTTAATGTCTGACACTGGCAAGGTAAACACAGAAACAAGGAATTAGCAGAAGCAGATCTACAAGTTATAGCTGTTATTGCATCAAAACAAACTCAAAAGATGGTGATATTGAGAAGAAGATATAACACAGAATGGTAAACTGATAGAGATTTGAGAGAGGAGATACTATACCGAATCTGAAGTTGACTCTTGCTTTGGGATGATAAGCATGCTGATGTGGAACACCCTGTTTTTCTACAGCACAGGAAGCAAGTATATAAGGAGCTGCGGAAACAAATATCCAGGGTGACTCATGCATTGCTTTTCCCTTACCAGCGCTCCTGCCAGAACACCACACGTCTCTAGATTCTTATCTGTATTTGCCCGGGCCAATCTTAAGAAATCTTGCATCATATTCATAGGCTGCAGAATATAGTCAAAGGAATCATAAGAAATTGTGGTTTTCTAGGAAAAACATATAGTTCTCATTAACATATAAGCGAAGAGTAATGAAAACAAAGGGAGATAACAGCATATTGGACGTACAACATGCACATCTTGGTACGAATTAGGGCCGGACATGCCATCCTGAGAAGGTGCTGGACCGGGTCGTGGGTCGGCAACTTTAGATGGTGCAATTTGAGCATATTCATGTTGCACTCGAGCAAGAACCGGAGGAGGGGACGGTTGCCTAATACCAACAAACTGAAAAGGATCTTCCTTTGCCTCGTGAACTAATGTGTTTCCTGGTTCCTCAGCAGGGTGTATCCATCTACCATCATCCAAGGAAAGAACGGAATCCATAACAGCACCAGAATCATTCTTCTTAACTGGCACACTGCCATATTCTCCAGCCTGATTTAAGCTGAGAAACCAAGGCATAGAGTAGACATTAGGACAAATTATACACACTGACGACAATACGGAGCAAGGAAAAGTAGGCCCAGAGACTGATAGATACAAAAGCTATCTAGTTGAAATCATTACCATGTATCCTCTGAAGAGGCTAAGTCAGCGTGGCTAGGATACTGCACCTGTGTAATACAACAAAACTAATTAGTTTGTGAAGATCATAAATATACAAAGGTTGGGAAGAACAACCAATCCGGCAATAAGGTTACCTTTATTGCCGCAGTAGGTGGGCGCCATTCAGCACGAAGGCCGTTTGGTCCCAAGAGTGAGTGCCTAGACAAAGTTTCCTGATTGGGAACAGGACGACCAATAGATCTACATATAAAAATATGGGCTATTATCATGAGCAGGATTTCAGCATACATCCCCAGAAATGAACTTCATCTACAATAATTATTATCTTAATTGATGACATAAAAAAGAACAATCATATGAATGAACATATAAATACTAATTTTGTAACCAGCATACAAGTTAATATGCCCTTATGGATGAACAAACATCATGCATATTGTACAGAGATCAGAGGTTCATCTAAAATGATTTAGAAAGCAATTTTCAAGCCTTCAAAAACTTATACTAAGAAAAGATGAGTGTAAAATAGCTGAATCGAAAAGCAAACTAGGATTTTAAGCACAGCTTCAGATATCGGCAAATTGAGATTTCAAAAAGAGAAATGATTGCTAACTGGTACAATATCATGAAACAATGAAAGCAGGAATGGGTAAAAATACTCACAAATTATGCAATTGATTTTCAAGTGGCGAGGGACTTGAGTAAAGGGCTTGAGCATCATTATTCTTCCATGAAGATTGAGGAACCATGCTGGTAGGCTAAAATAACGACGTTAATAACATATACTGAAAAATGAGTACTAGTAACTAAGAAAAAAGCACAAAGAACTAAAGTAAGCGCCGGTTACCTGTGCAACATTCCTTCCAGAGGATGCACTTCTTCTATTCACTGAGGGCCACTGTGGTGAAGATGACTGAGAACCATAAGAATTTTCTTCCACGCCATCGAGTTCTCGTATTTGAACACTCGAGTAACCTCTATTCAGTTCCTCAACTCGACGATTGAATTCAGGTTTCAAGGATTCAAGTTCCTCCAACACAGAAAGCAACCTCTGTACAACAGGATCAAAAGCCATAAATCCCACTGTATTATCGAGAAACCACGAGAAAATAACAATACAATATCCAAATCACAATTCGCATGCTCACCTTCCTATAGCTAGCCTTCTCCTTCAGAAGGTAACTATGGTACTCTCGATGGAACGGAATAGTCTCGGAGACCAAACTGGTTAGATTCACAAAAACAACGATCCAATTCAGAACTCAAAATCACACTACGAACGAATAACAGTTTCAGCTACATCGATAACTAGCAATTCGGCGCCATCAACAAATGTTACCTCGAGAATCTGAGAAGCATGATGTACAAATCCACCACATTACGTTCATCTCGGTACACGGTCGCCTGGAAAAACGAGGACAATGAAAGCGTAAGTTCATCAGTTACAGAGCCCTAGAAACTCGAACTTCCAGCAAAATACAGAGCGCGAGACGAAACCTGTCGGAGGAGGTTATCGGCGATCCTGTAATAGTACCGGAGAGGAATCCTGCTGTCCACCTCGACTTTGCGAGCTATTTTATTGAGGTCGATCTTCATCCTTCCCCTTGCGACTGTTCGTCTATCTCTTATCCGGCAAAATCACCGAGGCTCCGGCGGATTTCAGGCGCCAGGTGGGAAGTGTGCTTTGTGCGATTACTGTGAGTTCGCAGCAATAGGAATTAGGAACTGGAGATCGGGAAGAACGGCGGAAGAAAATCGGAAGCGGGGAGGAATCAATTTTCGCGACGTAGCAGCTAAGGAAGAAGGAAAAGAAGAGGAAAGTCACATTTCAGAAGAGCCGTCTTCCGATTAAACGCGGCCGAGCTTACTTGTATACTAGTACGTGGCGCACGGCTATTTGCTACGATTGTTTGGATCACAAGATAATCCTATCCGTCCACGTTTTGGCGGAGCAGTCAACTGAATCTGAACGGCTGTCAAATACCCAGATCCGACGAAGCAAACACGGGCCTGTTTTGGAAGAGAACATTGGAATTTGGCGGTCTCTTTGAGAAAAATGCTATTGGCTAGTCCATCCAGTCAGGCCCATAAATTGATAGAACGGTCTGCTGTAATAACCTGGCCGATTTTGGACCGACGTTATTAATACTGAATCGCTATTCGCCAATCGCCATTGATGGTAACATGGACGGGCCTAAATTTCATGGGCATTGGCACAAGCATAGCACAATATATAAGTGGGTCATGTTGGGCCTAATATTTTTGAGATTTTATTGAGTATGAGAATGAACATGGCACAACAATAACATTTATTTGATAAAAAAATAAATATAGAAAAATTATAGGTTCAAATAATACAAAATACAAGTAAAAAAATAATTATTTGTTGTTGTTAGAAGTGTCATAAAGATATATACGTAATTACTACCATAAGTAACAATGGACGAAGAATTAAACAAAGCCAAATCACACCCGCTATACTTTTAATTTTCTTTTCCCTATTATTTGTTACTTTTCTCAAACATTCTCGGTTAATACTATCTTTCTCCGTACAATTTTTTCACCTTCGTTTTCATTCTCTCTTTTATTTTCTTCCTTTTCATTAGACACAAATTCGAGCATGACACGAACACGAATAGGCACGGCACGATTCGAACCGTGCTCGGGCCTGTGCCGGGCCTAGCTAAATTAACAAATAGGCTTTCACGACACGGCATGAAAACTGACGGGTCGTGCCAAGCACGACACGAAATAAATGGGCTTAAAGCGTGTTTGGGCCGGCAGCACCCATGTACATACACAACACACTTCCCTTGTTCCCCAGTTTGCCGCCCTCTTAGAACGTTATTGGGTGGTTCGCCTCATCCACATTCCAAAGATAATAACTGCTTTGCATATTGCCTAAGTAACAAGGGAAAAAATCACAAACTACACACGTTATAAATTTTTTTCCCAAAATACACATGTTTGGGCATCACCACTGTTGTCAACCGCAGTGAATGCATTCACCGCGGCAGACCAAAGCGGTGAATGCATCACCGCGGTTGACGGCCGCGGTGAATGCCTGACATAACACTGAAACTTCAAACAAACGTAACTTTGCGCTCGGTTATCCGATTGTAGCGAATTTTTTTTATTCCACATAACGTTTCAAGATCTTTCAATCTGTAACAAGACCTCATCCCCAAAAAAAAAATTCATTTGCTACCCCGAACGAGCAATTTTTCGATTTTGACAAACTTTGGAAGATCATAACTTTGTGCTCCACAATCCGAATGTCATGAAACTTTTTATTGATTTTGCATAACTTTTGAAGTACTACAACTTTTATTATAACCATAATTTTGGAAAGTATGTGGATTTGTGAAAAGTAAAGGCAAAGGTTATTCCCCAAATCCCGTATACCCAAAAATACTTCTTTTTTAAAAAATTATTTCCTAGCAAAAGTTGTAGTTCTTAAAAATTTATGCGCAATATATTTCTTTTACCACGTTCGATTTGAGGAGCTAAAAGTTATGTCCTTCGAAAGTTTGGCAAAATAAAAAAATTGCTCGTTCAGGGTAACAAACGAGATTTCATTGAGATGAAGTCTTATTGCAGATTGAAAGATCTTGGAAAGTTATATGGAATTAAATTTTTTTTCGCTACAATCGGATAACCGAGCGCAAAATTATGTTTGTTTGAAGTTTCAGTGTTAAGTCAGAAATTCACCGCGGCCGTCAACCGCGGTGATGCATTCACCACTTTGATCTGCCGCGGTGAATGCATTCACCGCTTTGGTCTGACATAAGATATTGGGCCATGTATGACTATTTTGGAGGGCTACGCCACGTCGTATTTTAATATAAGGCAATGGTGTTGTACATCCATTTTCGATAAAAAAGAAGAAGATTTGGAGGAGAGTTTCTTCTCCTATATAATGACTTTATGTGTAAATTGAGATCATAAAGATAATATTATTTGTTACGAAATGAACATTATGTGTCACAATTAAAAATTATAACTCAAGTCTCTGTAACAAAATCATACAAGTGGAACACATTATCCACACGCCGTTAAATGATATCTAGATGACATTTTCATATTACCTTCCGTGTTGTTAAGAAGACACCACATATTAAAAATGAAAAAAAGAATAATCCCCAACTAAAACGATCTACGTTTTTATGAAAACTAATACACATGTAAATTCTGTGACAAAATTTAGAACCAACTCTAAGCAACATTGCATTGATACTTGGTAATGCCAAACCAATACACAATCATTTGATCCAATCAATACAAAAATCATAATGTAATAACTTACCACACTCAATACCAAAACCAAAAAGATGACCCTCTTATGACTTATACTATAATCTCCACCAAAAGCCTGAAAATCACACCAAACTTCGAAACTCTGCCCTCCCAAATCACCAACGGAGAAAACCTAGGCAGGCGACCAAGTAAACAATAGCATAACTTGCAGCCTTGAGAGCAGTAGATTCAGAAGCCTCAAGATGCTCAGACTCAGACACATCGAAATTGCCTGTCAATCACAAACAATCCCCAATCAATTCTCATAATCCACCATCTCGAATAAAAATCTATGAATCGCCATTTCTTGTGAGTTTGCCGAATACTTATATAACATCCAATGTAGTCAAAATTGCGCTTTAAAGCTTAGGGGTCGTTTGGATGATGAATTCTAATGGATCAATCTAGCACAATTGTCTCATTTGGTAACAGAAAATTTGGATAAAGCAATTTGGCTGGGGAATTCTGAATTGACTCATTTTGAGTCAATTACAATTGTCTAGGGCGGGGCAAGTAATTTGAATTGACTCGTTTTAAATGACTTGTTTTGTAAAATAAAATAATTGGTCAAATTGTCTCGTTTTACTCTTCTATGTCACCAAAATGCTTCTACACACGATCTCCGTTTTTATAACTAATGTAGTTAAAAACTACGCTTTAAAGCTTAAAAACTTACGGTTTTACGCTTTTAGATCACCAAAATGCTTCCACAATAAAAACGCCCTTTTGACTACACCGATAACATCGAGATCCTCGGTCGTCGTAACAAAATTGTGTAGAGTCTAGAATGAGAACTGGAGGGGGAGAAAATGTCAAAATTGCAGATTACCTCGGTTAGGGCCGTCACTGCATACTGCAGAGACAGTGTCCTTAACATCCTTGATCGTGGCAGCGTTGTAAAATCTGAAATTCTTCATGATCCCTTCAAGGCAGTTCAGCACCATGTTGGTCTCCGTCAAGCAAGAACCGCCGCAGTAGGCGTCCACTTGTTCCGGAGGAACTCCCAGGCTCCCGCTCTCGTTCAATCTGAAGTCTTCATCGCAGCTTCTGTAAATCTTTCAGCAACAAACAAGAAAGAAAAAGAAAAAAAAAAAAACGTTAAGAGATTCAATAAGCGAAACCAAATGGGTTCTGTTTGTCGTTGTTTTCTGGTTTCTGACACTTACTCCTCTGTTGTTGAAACAGAGCATAGCTTTAGCGATGATTTGGGCTGGATCGTTGTCATTACTACTGCTGTTGCTGATGCTCGAAGAAGAAGAAGAGGAAGTTGTGCTTCCTGGAACTCCATTGATTCCTACGTCTAGGTAAGGCGCTTCAACATCCGCCTTCCCTGTCAAGTATCATCACTCAAAAAAATGTGATTTCCCGCCGAATTGTAAATCAGCCGGGTATCATTCAGTCACATAAAAAAACTTACACATTGCCATAAACCAACTAATCTCAATAACTCGAGTCATTGGAAGAGATTCAATTATGTATTATATATAATTTACAAACACACCATCTCAAACCTACTTACATGAGCTTGAGGACTTTGAAGTTGGCAGTTAGCACATGTTTTGATTTCATATGCTTAATATAAGTTACCCAACGGATGTGGGTAATTGAGATTCGAACATAAGACTTCTCGATCACAGATTGCTCTGATATTATGTTATAAACCAACTTATCCCAATAACTTGAGTTGTTTGGAGCAATGCGCGCAGTCAAAATTGTGATTCTATGTAGAAGCGTTTTGGGGATCTGGAAGCGCGTAAAAATGCAAGCTTTAGAACGTAGATTTTTACTACAATTGTAAGTGAAAATCGAGATTCTACATAGAAATGTTTTTGATAACTTAGAAATATTAAACGTAAGTTTTTAAATTTTGAAGCACGGTTTTGACTACATTTACTGAGAAATGTTCAGTTATAAATCGTATAACATTAACTAACAGAGATAATATCTCACACCAAAAGTGTACATAGATACCATTTAAGCAGACGAGGAAAATGAAGGCTAAAAGCTGTGTCTCATACCTAGTTGAAAGGGGGAAATCAATATCGATACAAGGAGGAAAGCTGTGACTCCAAAGCTAAATGTTGATGAAGCTGCCATGGCTGAAAATTTGTGGTGCTAAGGGGAGAAGGCGATCGATAGAACAGTTTGTGGTATAGTAATGGAGTAGAGGGGATGAAATTGAGGTTGGTATATATAAGAAAAACAAGCACCACCAACCACAGTATTTTTATTCATTAGTGGGTTTAATCTCGTTAGCTTGGAGGCATATAGAAATGATTTCTTGGGCAGATTGATATAACTGACAACCGAATCGGTTAAACAGATTAGGGAAAAACTTGGAGGTGTGGCCAATGAGAAGTGTTAGCAGGTGATTCTTGGGGAGGTTTTGGTTGGGAGAGAAAAGGATTGATAATGGAGGAATCGCATTCAGTCCAACTTAGAGATTTGGTGACGCTTTGGGGGATGGGAAACTGAAGAGAGACTAAGGAGGAGAGAGAGCAGTTGGGTGCAAGTAAACAACTATGAACCGGTCAAGAAACAATGAAACTTTCGTTTTCAAATTTGGGTTCTGGGAGATTTATAGCAGGTTTCACACTTTGTAAAAGTGTTAAGCCATCATCATGAAAGTTTTATCTAATGAAAGTTAAATCTCGTGTTATTGTAAAAATCTTACGTAACGCTGATTTAACGGTTACATGATAAATAACACTATCATTTCGTAATTTTTTACGTGATGGATGTGTATTTTACGTAACAATTGTAAAGTGTCTAGGTAATTGATGATCTTTTTACGTAATGAATTTTAAGTATTAACTGTGTTTTACGTAAAGTGCTAAGTCATTACGAAAGTCTTACGTAACGCTTACCGTTAACCTGTTACTATAACTATCATTTTTTAACCTTTTACGTAATGGATGTGTATTTTATGTAACTGTTGTAAATTGTCATTACAGAAGTCTTACATAATAGATAGTTCTTTTACCAAATGAAAATTAACCTTGTGTTACGTAAGAAACAATATTCGTTTTGCATATTTTACGTAATGGATGTGTAGTTTATGTAACAGTTATAGAATGTTGATAAGTAGTGATGACTGGCAGGGCGGGTTACCATTGGATTCGTAATCATTGTCTAAATTGATATATATTTTAACGGACTAGATTCATACAAATTATCTAACTTGAAATTATAACAAAGTTACTGTAAGAGACCCCATGGGCGGACCTACTTGATGGGAAGGGGGTGTCGTCCGACACCCATTCACTTGAAAATTTTGCGAAAAACCTATATTTTTTTTACGTACAAAAAATTTTCATACGAGTTTTCCGACACCGCTTTAATAATTATAAGCGATACTCATTCATTAAATGACACCCCTGTTCAACAATCCTGAGTCCACGCCAGTGAGAGACCCTATAACTTATAAGTGCAAAAATATTGTAAAATGCTACTAACCCATACATGATATCATTCACCCTCTTTGAAGAAAGAGCCGTCAATCATAATTCGTAAGAGAAATTAGGTTCCAATTTCAAATGCAGACCAGATATATATTCGAAAAAACAAGATACAATCCCAAAAATGATATCGTCAAACAAAAATGCAGACCGTTTGTAGGTATTATTTCAGTCAGGAATTAGAACAAACGTTTATAATAATAATAAAAAAAAAAATAGAACAAACACAAGAAATTCATCCGCTTGAGAACCGAAAGAAATGCTGCTGCTGCCTTAGTATGAACATAACACACCTGCATTTTTTTACTAGTAGCAAAATTGCTCACCATTTTTTTACGTCACTGCCAAAATCCGGTTCCATTGTAGGCTTGCCCTTCCCACCAGTCTGAAACAGAGAAACAAAAAACGATCATAAGAATGGAGAGGCTTTGCACAGAAGTAGAAACAAAAAATAAAAAATTCCAAAGCGAGGGCCGTTACCGTAATGCACCGTAGATTCATACTTATCACATGTCCCCATATAGATGGAAGGGATGTGTTTCACTTTCCCCCATTCTTCTCCGCTCCACCCATCGTCAGGGTCCCCGTAGGCAAAATTCAGATCACCGCCAAAGATCTGCAGACTCGAAACAGTCTTCTTCTGCACTAGCTGGTCCGGCAGCTTTGCCAACCTCTTGCAGTAATTGAACGACAGCGCGGCGATGCAGGGCATGACCCGATGATCGTGGTTCGAATCCCATTCCTCCCATTCGTTCCATTCCCTGAACCTGTTCATCGTCAGATGAGTCAGCTTTGGGAATGCGAATGTGGTTGATGATGATGACGAGGACGAGGACGAGGAGGAGCTCGTCGTCGCGATCCCCAAGAACTCGGGTCCGACTTTCCTCACACTAGGGAAGCCGACTAGCTCGAGCCGCTCGAGGGATGGTAAATTTCCCAGAGGAGGCAGAGTGACGCAGTTGTTGCAATCAACTAGTTTGACCTCAGCAAGGTTGGTTAGCAAGGAAATCCAACTCAGGGTGCCCTGATATGGCTTCAGATTTAGCACCTTCAGCTTATGTGCTGTCTGTACATCAAGATCAAGAAAGAAAGAAAAGAAAAGATCAGTTTATGGGTTCACATAATTAATGAAGAAGGAAAAAAAAAACAAAGAATTATGAGAAGAGTTGAAGAAACCAATGCTTAATTAACCTTCCATCCTGTCCAATTGTCTTCTACATGGCAATTCTCCAGATCAAGAATCACCACTTCCTTGGTGTTGAAGTTTGTGGGGATTGGGCCATCATAGTGTAGTTGAAGCCACCGTACATTGGGAAGAATCTCGCCCAAGTCACCACTTAGCCCTCCATTCCTCACTGCAAGATATCTTAATCTGGATAGTTTCTTCAGTTGTTTCCTTGTGAATGTAGCATCCTCTTCCATCTCAACCCTGAGCATCTCCACGCGATCCGTTCCCTGCGAGATGAAGTAAAAAATACGCTGAGAATTTGAAACTAAGTTCGTAAAAATGAACGAATTCTATGTGCAAACCGTACCTCTCTACTGTGGATAATGTCGACGGCATCCTCTTTGGACCATATCCTGCTTCGGTTGCCCCGACGATCGATATCTTCTTCCCTGACAATAGCCCTGCCAAGGTCTCTAATACGATCATGCATCCAAAAGCCCTTATTCTCGTCGACTTTCAGCAACGATCTGTGGACGAGAGTGCTGATTCCACTTTCGGGATAGATGTTGCAACTACTCCACATATAGAAAGGTAACTTTTTTTTCTCTCCCAAGAAAAAACAAGCAATGTCAAGAAAGATTTGCTTCTCGTTGCGGGTCAACTCGTCATAACTTATCTTCAATCGCTTCTGCACCTGCTCACTAGTTGGGGGTATTGCTTTCATTTCTGCCAATTTTTCTTCCCAAAACCCTTTCCGCTCACGAAACAATAGAGATCCAAACACCTTAAGAGCCAAAGGGAGCCCAGCTGCAAGTTTCACAAATTCCTTCGACATGTCAACCTGATCTTCTGGAGGATGGGTCACCCCACCAAATGCAAATTTGCTAAACAATTTCAGGGCATTGTCATAACTCATTTCTCTAGGTTCGTACAATTTATATTCCTGAAGAAACTTTAAAACTCGTGTGTTTCTAGTGGTGATGATAAATCTACTCTTCGAAGAAAAATCACATAATTTCCCGAGGATTTGATCAAACTCGAACCTCTCATCTGCATCGTCAAGGATAATAAGAGTTTTGAGCCTGCAGACTCTATCTTTTATAACTGAGACCCCTTCACTACTATTACCAACCTTATGTTCTTGCCTTAGAATGCTCGAGATCATCTTGTTCTGTAATTCTACAGCACCGTTATATTTGGATAATGTATCTCCGACGTTTTCTAAGAAGCAACAACGATCAAATCTTGAGCACACTTTATTATACACCGCTTTGGCTATAGTGGTTTTGCCAATACCGCTCATTCCATGAATGCCAACAATTTTCCCAGATATGAAGTCCACATCTAGTAACTTCATCACTTCTTCAACATGGGAATCTATTCCAACTAACTCATCGGTCACCAATGTGTAATTACTTCTCAAATGTAGCTCAACTTGATGAAGAACTTGATCAACAATTGATCCCTGACTGCAAATTATTCAATAAAATACATAAATAAATGGCAACAAAAAGAGTTGGTAATGTATATGGGTCATACTGAATACGAATACATACAAATATATCAATGTTGTTTGTAAATAAGTAAATATTCCCTGGGCATTATATAAAAAAGTAAGATTGAGTTTTTCCAATATTGTTTGGTGTTAAGAGTTACAACTTACGAATCATTTATCAAGATTTACAAACTCATCATTAATTTTGTGAACAAAAATAATGGTTGTTTTAACTTATAATGCACCCTAAAAATGTATATAACTCAAGTGTTGGCAAGATGGTAATGCCGCCACTTTTGGTTGAAATCAAGACCAGAAATTGTCCTTATAAAATAAGAAAATTTGCAAGCACAAAACTCTAGCTTCTTGTAAGGATCATATACCCTGGTAAAAAAAAAGTAATGGAGATAGAGGTTATACACCTGATCCGCTATTTTATATTCGACAAAATATAAGGTGCATAGTCTAACCCTGCATAATCTCATTTAGTGATTAAAAAACATATTACTCCTGATAAAAGAGAATTATGAGCGACTATACATATAAGGATTATGCGCTAGATTTACTCCTTCTATACCGATAATAATAGAAAAGGATGCAGCTAAGTATCATAAGAAATCAATCAATGTTAGTTTGTTCACTTTCCTTTTGGTTTGATATATGGAAGACACAACAATTAGTGTCATGAATTAAGATGAAAGTGAAATGAGTTACCCATCTAACTCAGTGACGTGCCATCCTTTCATTTGACCAACTTCTTGAAGTACATCCTTCCATTCCCGTATGGTTTCCGGATCAAATTTCTGACTGTGCAGCTCAAATGCCTCTTTGAAAGGTCCTTCTTGACGCCTCACATCCCTGGGATCGATAAAATAGAAAATGGGAAGTATGACGTGCCCCTTCTCTCTCTTCAGACACCTGACCATCTGAACTAGCTCTTGGAGACACCATTTGCTAGAAGCATAACTCTGTGATAGAATTGGGATGTGAATCTTGGATTCACATATAGCCTGAATGAGAGATGGTGCAATGGTCTCCCCTTTACGAAGCTCTTCCTCATCCCTGAAGGTTCGGATTCTGGAACGAGCCAGACAACTGTAGAGATGGTCGGCGAAGGTTGTGCGCACATCGGGGCCTCTGAAACTTAGGAAAACCTCGTACTCACCTGTCGGAAGCGCAGACATGAATCCGAATGAAGAAGAGGAGGAGGAGGAGGAGTTGAAGGCAGTTTCAGAAATCAATTTTTACTCATGTGATTGAGGAGGTTCCAGACTGTGAAACTGAGCTAGGCAGCAGTTAAGGAAAGGCTGAAAGTATGGAGGCAATGGTTCATTTGAAAATTGGGTTTGGCTTGTCATTTGAAAATTGATTAACAAAGACTTGCAGCAGCAGGGTCATTAGCTTGGGAAGATGACCGTCCCACATGCTACGGGAGACATGATGATTCTTCTTGGGGTGGTGGTAAGTGGTAACTTTGTTGGTTTCTGAATTCCTTTACTATTTCTATATTTCAAGTTGTCTTAATCTCCTTTGCCCACAATTTGTGAGTTTAGTTTTGTGGTTAAGTCACTTTAGATGGTACCACACTAGCCTTCTACACAAATCGATATCTCATTCTCGTCAAATTTATATCTTGGACTTTATGTAATTAGAACATGTGGATATGTTACTGCAGATTTTGACTGTTAATCTTCGACTATTTGATAAGCATGAGTATGATGAATTCGTGCAAATTACGAACTTGTTGATGGAACTAACAATTAGTTGTACAAACAAATTGGTTCATTACATTTTCACAAACTATGCTTGCAAAGTTTTTCAGTTTGTTTTGGTGATAAACAGTAAGAGCTATTTAATTGTGATAACTCAAATTATTTGAAAGAATTTCAAGAACAAATTTAACCGTCCTTAAGTATATGTTATATGATTATGGCTAAGATCAGGTGACTAGGGGAACTAGGGATGGCAATGGGGCGGGTTTGCTTAAACCATCCTCATACCCATCTTCAAATACCCAAACTCATACCCATGCGGGGGAATGTTTTGCAAACCCATCTCCATACCCGTGGGTTTCGGGTACCCATGGGTAATACCCATACTCGTACATCCAACATTATTATACCTAAAACTTACAAGAAAAGTTCTAATTACAATTATAAACGAACATATTAAATCATGAAGTCAATAAAACACGGTCATTTTTTTAATATGGTTCAAAGATTATGATCCTAAAATATCCATTAATACATAATATAGAGTATAATATTTTTCAAATTATTATGTTCTAACTCTGATACATCTACTAAATAATAATTAACTAACATAATTTTGTTGACAAGGGGGAAAGTGAAAGAGTGAAATGAGAATTGAGAGAAATGAATTAGATTTTGATTAAAGTGGTCAATCAATTGCATTTCTACTATTTATTTTCTCAAGTTATCCTCATCATCATTGATAGATTATAATTTGATGCACATATTTTTTTTATATATGAAGAAATTATCTTGGTGGGGTGGGTATGGGGATGGGTATGGGGCGGGGAGGCTAAAACCATACCCGCCCCATACCCATCAAACTTTAAGCGGGTTTTACCCATACCCGCCCCATACCCGGTCAAAGCGGGGATTCCCCGCGTTGACTGGGTCGGGGGCGGTCAGATACCCGCGACCATGGGTTTGATTGTCATCCCTAGGGGAAACCCTTAGTCATTTGGCTAAGTCAATCTCAGCCTTCCATGCTCATTAAAATCCTAAGGCTATAATTAATTCATTTTAAGGAAGGACAACAAAGTAATTATACATTTTAATTTTGTAATTAAAAAAAAGGAGTCCTTCCCTCACTTGTGTTGTCGCACGCGAAGAGAGATTCCCTTTTAATGTATGAGAGAGAAAGAGATGGATCCATAGAGACGACGGCGGCGAGGGACGACGACGGTGAGAGATGACGGTCGACGGTGTTCAGTGTTTGGGGAGAGAGAGAGAGAGGCGGAGGTAGAGGAGAAGAGAGAGAGGCAATGATGACCGTAGAGGAGAGAGAGCGGCGACGGTAGAGGAGAAGAGAGAGAGAGACGGCGGTGGCACCGAGGAACAACGACGGCGACGGTGAGGAACAACGACGACAAGAGAAGACGAGAGCGACGACGACCGTGGAGGAGAGAGAGGCAACAGCGGTCGAGGAGGAGAGAGACGACGACATCGCCAGATTTGTTGGCGGCGACGATTTCGTAATTTTTGTCGGCCTAGTTTGTAATCTTTGTAAATTGGTTTGTAATGTTTATTTTATTCGGTTTATAATGTTTATTCTTTTAGTTTGTCATTTTTGTCTATCAAATTTGTATACATTGTAGTTCGTAAAGATTGTAATGTTTATACAAATTCGGTTTGTATTGTTTATTATTCTTGTTTGTCATCTTTCTCTATTACATTTGTAATGTTTATATGACTATTTTTGTATATATTGTAATTTCCTTTTGTACTGTTTGTCAGTTTTCTTTTGTAATATTTATTATTTTGTAATGTTTGTCGGAATCTTCAGTAATGTTTGATTGTCTATTTTGTATACTTTTATGTTATGATTTGTATACTTTGTATTCATTTGTAATGAAATGATAGTAACACTGTACACAAAGCGTACTAAAAGTACAAATTATCATTACTTACAATACAAATCGACATGACTTGCATCACAAATCAATACAACTAAAGTATACAAATTAATATTACAAAGCATACAAACTACATTACAAATATATATAAATCATAATGACATTATGTACAAAGATACTAACAATACAAATGTATAACACTTGCATTACAAATCACAATGACATTATGTACAAGATACTAACAATACAAAATGTATAACACTTGCATTAAAATATATCATCGAATCCCTCGCCTCCTCCCCCGTCGCCACCAAATCTCTCTCCATCGTCGTTGCTGCCTCTCTCTCTCTCTCCATCGCCTTTGTCGCCTCTCTCTCATCCATCGTTGTTGCCGTTGTCGTTCTCTGACAAATCCGCCGCCTCTGGCGGTGTTTCTCTCTCCTCCACCACCGTCGTTGACGCCGCCCTCTCTCCTCCACCGTCGTCGCCGCCGCCATCTCTCTCTCCAGCGACGTTGCCACCTCTCTCTCTCTGTCCTCCACCGGCGCTACGATCTCTCTCCTCCACCGGCGGTGAAATTTTTTCCGCCATGTTTTTCTCTCTCTGGACACCACAACAACAAAGGGGAAAGTAGGAGACGATTGGAGAGAAAAAAGCAAAGAAATAATAATAAATAATACAAAACTAAAAATAAAAGTTAAATGAATTTCTAATAATACCAAAACTACCCTTTTCATTTAATAATAATTCATTACTTTATTTGAAATAATCTGGACCATTAGATCAATCCAAAGGCTGAGGGGGGCTTAGTCAAGTGACTAAGGATCCCCCCTAGTCATCAGATCCGGAACGATAATCCCCATCCATGTGCCTTGGTTTCTGGTACCTTACACAAAGATCCTTAAAACAAGTTAGTAGATGATCGTTCTTGGGGATAATTTTGGTTCACTAGCACGACGTATGTTAGCTAGTTCACGGATAGAAAAGAGCAGTTTCACTATAGTTGAGGAGATAAATATTACAGAGATTGAGAAGGTATATATAGCACATTATCGAGCTAGACCCCGTGAATTTCAGTCAACTACAAATTATTTATCTTCAAATTATAACAAAATACATCATGAAATCTATGAAACAAATGATGATGTTTTTCAAGTCCATAATAATCTCAATTTTCATATATATAGTTTTTCAAAATTCAAAATTCATCAAAACTTCATTTTTCAAATGCACGAGAGGTAAACAATGGTGTCTTCCTAAACTCCTCCCGTCTAAGTTAAGTGTCTTCTAGTGCTCCTGCAAATCATCCCGATCTCAGTCTACAGACTACACTGATATCGCTTCAGTAATCTTCTAGCCAAGAGTCAAACAATCAATTTCAATACTATGACTCCCTAACCGATGTTTGAAAATTACACCTAAACAAATACACACTAAAATACTGAACTGAACAAATATATGCAACTATTCTTAACCTACGATATATCTCCGCCCTTCACATAATGTAGGGCTGAAAATTTATTTGTCTCGTACTTGTCCCGTTCCTAATGTTGTCTGGGTCAAGCTTCCACAAAGCAAAGTAGAAAAGCAGATGAGACGCCATTGCTCGAAATGTACATTTTTCATGTCATATACAATATACAATCATCAACTCACCATCCACAAGCAAAAAAAGAAATGAAAAACAGAGCACATCCTTTGATTACAACACCCAACAAAACTCTGTCACTCCTCAAACTCCCTTATTGTAGAGACCACAATGATCCATCCAACATCCATTGATTTCCTCTAACGAGGGAAACAACAATCAAGAAGACGAAGTGGAAACAGGGTTCTTGCCAAAGGGCAGCTGTTCCCCGCAGGTCAGAACCTCGTGCGGCCCTGCCTCTTCCCTCCCCACGCCCATCAAATCGAGGTAGTACAGGTAGTGCGAGACGACGTTGTTCATCGCCTCGTCGTCTCCTTTGCCGCACATCTGCTCCCCGTGGAGGACGTTGATGGTGGCTCCGAACCCGGGCACCCGCTTCGCCAGGGTGTCGTTCTTGGTGGGCTTCCAGTTGCCGACGAAGGCGTCGTGGGCCGACGGCAGCTTGTTCTTCTTGTCCGGCGTCATCCACTTCCACATCGCGGCCTGGAACGCCAGGGTTGCGTTGTTCTCCAGGTACTCCGGGTGGTTTAGCAGGTCCACCTTCAGGGCTTCCCCTGTTTTGCCGTAGTTGTAGTTCCTGCAAGAGCAATTCAAAAAAGAATTTAGCGGGCTTGTGACTCGTCGCACAGTTAGAATTCGAGTTCAGTAGGAGCTCATTTATGAAAAATTCAATAATATTGTATTCAATTATCAAGTAAATTCTCTTATTCAATTAAGTAGTCATTTATCAAATTAATATTTATTAAATTTGTACTTTAATGCAAAGTTGAAAAGTGACATTTTAGGTAAAAATAAATAGTTTGCAAGCAGAATCTAACACACACAAAAAAAAGTGTTATAAGACATTTGATAATAAAAAAAAACTTGACATTAATAGAAAACTTGTTGAGCTAAGGGATTTTTAGATATAGGAGGAGTTTTTTGTATATACATTTAGTAGGATTAGAATTATTTTTATATTGAGGATTTTCAGTGTTATCCAATTGTTATAGTATATTTTATTTGAACGGTTCATAATACTATGACAATTAAATTTTAATATGAATGAGATTTCGAATTCTGAAGTTAGCCTAATTAAACAAGTATATACATATAACATATATAACCATTTTAATTTATCTACGTGGGAACCTACGACCCCACTCCTCTCCACCTCCTTCTGCCACTGCATCAACGGCGCCTCCTAGAAATCGTAACATGAACTAGTTGATCTCAATAATTTGAATTATGCAGAGAGACATTAAACTATGCATCATATTATACACCACTTACTAACATACTTATCATCTGCTTAACAAATGAAGTCCTACCCAGGAACCGAAATAAGTAACTCAAATTATTTGAAAAATATTCCGTTATAAATCATATACTACTTATTAACAAATCGTACCAATAAAGCGGCAGAGCTCCACGACCATGGTACGACACTCCCGGAGTGCAAGGGTAATCGTATTTGTAATAGTCATCGCAGTACGTCTTCTCCGGGCTCAGCTCCTTGTTGTAGCACAACCCCCACGCAAGAGGTCCTCCCGTCGCCACACCATATCCGCCTGCAAATTAACAAATTCCTCGCCGGTGAGATCCCCAATTCAAACAGAGTAAAAATACCCCAACTTCACCCCGCGGCTCAAAAAACCCCGTCTTTACTGACATGAAGTCTTGCTGCCGACGTGGCCGAGGAACGCCGCGACCTCCAGCTGTCCCACGTTCTTCCCGCCGGTGGTCCCGAACCCGAGCGGCTGGTAAGTCGCGGCGGCGGTGATGAACGAGTGGTAGTCCCAGAACCCGGATGCGTGGGCAACGGGCGTGTTCCGCTTGGGGAAGAGTTCCTCGAACTGGTAGGTCTGGAAAAAATCGGAGATTGTGTGGTTGCAGCAGTAGGCCGACAGGCCTTTGCACTCCCACCCTTTGTCGCAGAGCTTCTTCCCCTTCACCACTTTAACCACCAGCGGGGGCTTCGTTTCCTCGGCGTTCGTCGCGGCCGAAAACAGGGTGATCACGGCCAGTGCTGCTGTGATGGCCAGCCACTTGGTTGTGGCGTCCATTGTGTGTGCAGGGAAAATTGAGGTTGCAGTAGAATTGAATTGAATTGAGGAATTGGGTGGTTGGAAATTGGGATGGGTGAGGTGTGGGGATTTAAGGTGGGGAGGGTGTGAAAGAGTGATGAGGAATTTGTGTGAGAATGGAGGGTGTAACTGAGTTAGGAGGGAGGGGATTTTCAGGGGTTGCTTGATCTTGCTGCATTCATTTTTCTTGCACTGCAAGCAAAGACAAAATTTGGTTACAGTTGGGATGTGATTTGGCGGAAATGCAGAGTGAGGTAGGTCATAGGAGGAGAAGACAGTAGTTGGGCTGGCAATTGAAGCCCGTCGTGGTGCAGGTTGGGCCTGGTATCCTGTAGGTGTGACGTTGAGGGCTTCTTTTGGAAGATGGGGTTCAGTAGCAGTTTCCGGTTTTTTATGCGCAACAACGCGTGAAAGGCATCAGTTAATATTAAAAAAAAAAAAGTAAATACAATCTAATATCCAAACTTTTCATTTTAAACAATATTAGCTTTTTAACCGGCCCGTTGGCCGGAAAGAATTATTTCATAATTTATATTAATTAACTTATTTATATGTTTAAATTATTTTGGATCTTCTAAATATTTTGTGTTCTTGATTCATAAAAGAGTTTGTAGTATGTCTACATTGGAAATTTCCAATATTTAGCACACTCACTTCTAATGCTTTGATTTTCTAATCATAAATTATGTTACTGTCACGTCCCATTTAGAACTTACGTCAAAATTTGTCAACCAAAACACTAATATTTAGCGTACGCCAACCCGAACCATATATATATATATATATATATAGTTAAAGCTAACGTGCTCCAGGAGTATGCTATACTCTTGCGTTCACGCTACCATACGACCATTGAGTTTTACTATTTAAACTCCAGAGTTTTTTGGGCATGATACTATACCCTAACCTTTAATAGGTGAACTCTAATCCCTAATTCTCTGACCTCTAATTTATGCAAATACTTTGTCATACCTATCTTCTATCGTATCTTGAGTAAAATAAAAAGATAGTATACCTTATATTATATATATGTATATATGTGTGTGTCTATATAGTAGACTCATATTAAAGTGTTATTTGCCTATCCCCCCACCCTCGGGATAGAGATCCCGCTTTTACCCCCATAACGCCAGACAACCATTAGGGTTTTCTATCGTTTGATATGTAATAAATAAAGAGGCAAATCCTAAGATCCTGCTATTTATTTCTTATCCTCTCCCGCCGCCCCCTTTATGGAGAATAAAAGGGTAGGGATGACAAGATCATAGCTCGATATGGTTTTATTCTGTTCATCGTATCACTTCCGTCAAATTCAGGCGTTGGTACATTATACTGGGTGGCAGCTTTTTGGTACGCGGCCTCGGAGGTTATGTTCTTTTTGATTTTTTGGGCTTCTTTTCATTCTTCTTTGGCACCTATGGTTGTGATCAGAGGTATTTAGCCCCCGAAAGGGATTGAGATTTTAGGCCCTTTTTGGAAATCCAATACACATTCATGATCCTAAACTTTGGACGAACTCTCGGCCAATGTTGTAAAGATTAGGACTTTTTAGTGAGAAATTATTAGTAAAGATACTTCATTATTGGATCAATTTATTCATCCATATTGAAACTTGACACACACTGTAGCCCTCGTGATGATTAAATTCTATAATCTCTACTCATTTCCATTTTGGATGTTAGTTTTTTTTTATCAAGACACTTAAATTTAGTATATTATATAATATGTATCAATTGTTAATTTTTGAAGTTTAGATGAAACTTCAACCCATGGTCATTGTTTATATGTTGGCTTAGAATCTTAATCTAAGACACTCGCACACACTATTAAGCATTTTGGTCTTAACATGGTCGTTGAATGTGTAATTTTCAAAGATTTTATCACTCATATATTATTATTTGATAAATAGTGTCAACAATACACACATACTTCAAATCATTTAAAATGTCTTATCATTTGAAAAATATCGGTGGATTTCATTTGATTTTTTGCATTAACTTATTATCTATATAACATATATCAATTCGTGTTTCTTGAGTTTGGACGAACTGGAAACCAATTTTGAGAGTTGAGATTATTGGATAAAGATACTTGATTGCTGGATAAATATGTTTATCCCAATTGACTATCTTACTAAAAATTATCAACCTTTATTTGGTAAATGTATAGGTTAGTAGTTGATGAAACGCGATATTTATCTTAGATTCTCAACAAAGATTCTCGAACCTTCCTTATGTTATTTTTCAAGAAATCTTGTGTCTCATCCTAGGGTATGAAGTCAAAGTTCGTCAACAATCATACTTATGTTATTTTGAAAATTTTGATTTATAATCGTTGACGATAACTCTAAGTCTGAAAGAAAATTTCTTAACATATGACTTAGGACCTCAATAGAGCTTGCTCAATCAATATGATATATAACAAATATTATTAATGTGAACTTTGGACACATTATGAAATTATTGCACATGCGATTTCTCTTCATTTGAGGAGTTTAGGGTAGAACATGATCTGAGAAATAAGAAGTCTTTTTTAAATAAATAACTATAACTACTCGATCAAGATTATACTCTGACATTTTGCTAAATAATAATTGTTTTATTTTTATAGACATATAATTTACGAATAAGAGAGTGTTTCATTGCAACAAAATATAAAGTAATACAATTTATTTTTCACAGGTAATTGAATGTCAAATGTTTATTTTCTCTCTTTTCATATAAATTTTGTTTAATTGAAAAAAACATTATTGTTTATGTGTATGTTTGTTTAATTTTTTTCATCAAAATGTAACTTATCATTCAGTTTTAGTAAAAATGAGTAAAATTTTTACTTCATAAGGTTTAATAAGATATTTTTTATTTAAACAAATGTGGTATATGTTACTTTCTGTTTTCTAATTCATATTTTTTCTGGACAAATTTTTTTATTAATGTGTGTTTTATTAAGTTTATCAACATGTAACTTATTATTAAAGCAAAAACAATTGGATATAAGAAATGGAAATATTAAAGAAATAGGATAAAATTGAAAAAAAATTGGATAAAAGTTGACAATTTGAATATTAGATTATTTTCGAAAAGGTTTGGCTATTATATTATTTAAAATGAAAGGTATGGATATTAAATTGTATTTACCCTAAATAAAATTGCTAACTATGGGTTGCATTTAGGCAGGACAACGGGAAAAGGGTTGGGCTGATATTAGGGATGGAGGGATGGTAATTGGTTGGATTTTTAACGTACGAAAAGTTGACGATTTGGATATTAGATTGTTTTCGAAAAGGTGTGGCTTTATATTGTTTAAAATGAAAGGTTTGGATATTAAATTGTATTTACCCAATATATTATAATGTAAACTAAAAAATGTTTCTTTTTAGTAAGTATAATTTTATAGCTCATTATTACCCGAGTCGGACAACAACATCCCCTATGTTTGGCCCGACTTTTAGAAGTGTTTTTCGGCTTCAAAAGCTTAAGCAGGGCCAAACACCTGTAAAAACTCGGCTTTTGAAAAGCCGAAAAGCGCTTTTGTATAACATAAAAGCATAAGCTCCGATTTGGAGCTTCTGCGAAAAGCTGTTTTGAAAATACAAGATTATCCTTACCATATGTTAATTTTATTTCAGAAAATATAATTTTTCTTCATTTATAATATTTTAAAAATAAAATAAATTATAAAATTATATTATTTAATATAAAAGAAATCTAACAAGATCCATTTTGACGACTTTTAATTGTTTAGAATTTTTATTCATATTTCATATTATAAGTTCTTTATAGTCATTTTACACAACCTCTCATATTAAAAAACACTTCTAATAGTTTTACAGCCAAACACTCAACTGCTTTTTTTTAAAAGTACTTATCGAAAAACTCCAGCCAGAAGCTTCTTCTACAAAAACTATAGCAGGGCCAAACTAAGATATTGTCTTCCACCGTTAGTTACCGAGGTCACAAACACATTATTAAACTAAATTCATTTGAGTTTGTAGATTCATAGATTGTTGTAAAATTATAATTCATTGCCTTTTCATATTTTATAATTTGATATCTAAACTTTAAATTTTCAAAAAAAAAAATTTCTTCACAGCTTTATCATGGTACCTATTTTTTTTATAATGTCATTTCCATACTAAACTTTCAAATTTCCATAATAGTTCAATTTTTAGATGTCACTTGGATCCATAAATATATACATGAATTCAATCCAATCCATCTTTCAAATTCATCAATTCATAAATCCAATGCATTTATCGTCGCATCCCAACATATAACATACATACAGATTGATAATCAATTTGCCACACAATTTCCCTTAATAAAGTGGAAGCTCAATATTATCACTGATCACATACCTTTGTTATGCCGACACGGCGAACAGAGTTGACACCCGCTTTGCGATATAGTAGTCTTATTAAGCTTCTTTCATACAGCTTTGCAACATAGCTAGCTAGCTAGCTCTGTTACCAAAGAAATGTGAAAATGAGAAGTCAATCCTCTCATGCAAATTAAGGCGATTTGACCCAGTCCAAGTTAGACATGTGTGGCTATCTCTGATTGGATGGGAAACTGCTAGAGAAAGAAGATAGATATATAGATCAGAAAACATTAAAATCGACAGTTAAATGCTCCACCAAAAAAGAAATTACAGCTTACATGCATGCATGCATCCCTTTCAATGGGATTTGTACAGATTCTACACACAAAAAAAGTCGCACAGCAAAAATTTTAAATGGGACCTTTACCCACACAAATTGTACGACTGGTAGTAAAGCACTTCGAGCCTGCCGGTATTAATGACCCCATTACATTTGCAATAAGTTATTATTGTTCTAACACTATAGGTTACGTTGGAGTTGTAGTATTTATTGGGGGAGCAAGAATTTTGAAGTATATGTATCTCTTTCTCGGAATATAATGATATAAATAAGTTATTATTATTATTAAAATAAAATCAATTGAAACTAGTAATATACAAATTATTCTTTCATAGATAATAAAATAACCGATTAATGCGGTTATTATTTTAATAAACAACCACGTTGCATTTTCATATTCAAAGAGAATCACAAGATACATCATGTTGTGTATATTCTTAAGTAAGTCTCATTTAATATACCTCATTAAACAATCATTAGCAAACTGATTACCAATTCGACTCGAAATTTGTCCTTGATGATATAGTTCAAACATGAAAAAAGAAACTCTTTCTACGCGCTTTTAATTGCAACGGGTAGATATAAAACTAGTTTAACAAACAAACTGACGGATATGAGCAATGCTTTTTGTCGCTATTATAACTCGAGATAATTCATCAATTCCTTTCAATCTAGCAAATTTCCCATCAGCCATAATATCTCTTAGGGAGTAAATAGATTGGATTAATGATTTATTTCAATTGGGAATTTCGTTTGTAGTTAATAAATTAATTTTGTGTTAATCTAATAACAAACAATGAGTTGTAGTGTAGTGGCGAAACACTCTTAGACAATCTCGTAAAGGTGGGTTTCAATTCTTGGC